CGTCTCCGAAAACATTGCCGACGCACTGCATCGTCGAGGCTTTCTCAGCACCGCCCTCAGCACATTGTTGTACTGTACCCGCAGGGCACTGTAGGTCCGCTGCGTATAGTCCGTCCATAGGTTGCACGTGTAGAAGGACTGGCAAAAGGCTTTAAACAAAATTAACTTTACTTGTGTCGTACAACATGCAAATCTACGGGCCAACATGTTGCCCCTGACCGACAGCGCCCTGCGCTCACGTTCTATGTCAATACCATCATCCAGGCATTCGGTTACAATATGCCCTAGGTACTTGAACTCAGCTACTTGCTTCAGGGGATTCCCACATAGCTGAAAACATGGCTTATAATTTAGTGGTTTGTTCTTTCCCCTGAAAGTCAAGACTTCACTCTTTTTGGAGTTGTATCTGAGTCCATTCTCCTCCGCATATTCTTCACAAATTTTTATAAGCTTTCTTAGTCCACTGACAGAGGGGCTCAACAGAACCATGTCGTCCGCGTAACTAAAATTGTTCATAGCTACTCCGTCGATGGAGCAACCGACAAAGAGGAAAGATTTGTATGTATTTTTATATACATGTAACGAATAAACGCAAAAACTACTGTATTTATATTTAGATGTAAGAAGATAGTTTGAGACCCTGGGAAGGACATAAGATATTTTTTTATTCCGGAAATCATCCCTTAGGGCGGGAATGGAGGGGGAGGGGGGGTGAAAATAGAGATGAATGTTTGTATGGGGTTGTTTGTCCCTAGTTAATTATAAAGTGTAAAAAAACAGAGTAAATCCTTTTTAGACCTTGGATCTATTGTTATTAATCTTATTCATATGATTTTTAACGTACGGTCAAATAAATGTACCTAATGTTAGGAACTGAATCGAAAAAATACAATAAAAAATTTAAAGTTGACTACTATTATATTTGCGAAGTTTCAATGTATTTGTATGTTTGTAACTTCTTAAGACTGAAACAGCTGCATGGTTTTAGATATTAATCTACAGATAGACTATAATATGAAGTAGGTAGGCTAGAATTAGGCTACTGTTTATATATATTATATACTATTGACGATATGTTTGGCTCGGTTTGTAGTGAGTGACCCTACTTTCTGTACTAGTGGTAGCGGGTACGAGTCCCGCTGGGGCCATGCATTTGTGTGATGATCGTGAATGCTTGTACTACAGTCATGGGTCGCTGGGTGTTTATATTTATAATATGTATGTATTTACAGTTATATATGTGTAGTGTATCAATTATCTGGTATCCATAACACACGTTCCGTAGCTTACCATGGAACTAGGTTGTGTTATGTGTTAATGTCCAAACATATTATTTATTTATTTTATTACTATAAGGCACTTAAGGTCTCGCCCGTACGAAGCGATATACTTATAAGTCGCTAGTCTTATTAGTTATTACTATTATAAATGTGAAAGTTTGGATGGATGAATGTTCGTTACTCAATCACAATAGCACGACTGAACGGATCTGGATGAAATTTGGCACAGAGATAGATTATAGTCTGGAATAGCACATTGATTACTTTTATCCCGGAAAAATGTACGGTTTCTATGAATTAGATATATATTTTTTTTCACAGAGCAAATGATCGACTCTCTTTTCCCTACTAACCGTTAAAACGTACCTAAATAATAATAAATAAATAAATATGTTGGGACATTAACACACAGCACCATCTAGTTCCACGGTAAGCTACGAGGCTTGTGTTATGGATACCAGATAGTTGATACACTATACATATATAATTTTAAATACATACGTATTATAAATATAAACACCCATGACTGGAGTACTAATATTCATGCTCATCACACAAATGAATGCCCCCAGCGGGACTCGAACCCGCGACCGCTGGTACAGCAAGTAGGGTCACTACAAACTGTGCCAAACGTGTAGTCATTCATTGTCGTCAACCTATGGATGGACCCGAGCGAAGCGAGGGTGAATCGATAGTAAAATATATTGTACATATAATCCTTATACATATTTCAACTCTTGTGGTGTTTTTGTAATGAAACAATAGTTATGCGTTACATACGCAATACAAGGAAATCATTAGCATAAGAGTATAATTTACAAAAACAAAAATAAGAAGGAAGTGATGTGATTTTTAATTTTTAATGAGTAGATTAGAAAAACCCACCTCATTGGGTGGAATAGTTACTTTTAAAGTGATTTCGCATACAATAAAACTTTATAGATAAAAATGAAATATTTAAAATTTAAATTGTCATAACAATGTTTTAAATAGATTTAAAAATTACGGCGTCTAGGCCTAAGTTGTAATCCCGATTTGAATTAGTCATGACACGTCTTGTTATCGCTCCCTGATCCATCCAGTTGGAAAGAATTGTTATGTTGTAATGCCTAATGCCAAGGGGTTAGAAGAGTCCCCACAACGTGCATTCACCTTGTCGTGGTGGAGCTCAGTAGTACCTTACAAATTACAATACAGTCGCGAGCAACGCACGAAACGCAAGAAACGCACTGGGAGGTGTCCCACTTCGGTGGGCGGTGTACGATGCGGATTGCTCCTAGTACTTGTCTGACAGCAGAGTAGAACGAGGGAGCAAGAACTCAGTTGTGTGGTCTACTGTTGGGACGTCGTAGCTGAGTGCGTAAGATCGCTTACGCACTCAACCACGACGTCCCGAGGACAGGTCTGCCGAAGCAGACTCTTGCTTCTGCTTCCTCCAATCTGTTGTCAGAGAAGTACCAGGAGAAACCCACATGGTACATCGGCCACCAAAGTGGGCCTCCTTCCAGTGTATCTCTTGACTTCACGCCCGGCTGGATTTCTGCAGCTCTCCACACTGTATCTCAAAAATGGTTAACCATATAAGAAAATAATTTAAACAAAATTTGTAGAGAATTTTATTCTATATATTTTTCATAATAGATACAAATAAAATAAAAATAAGCGAAATATTTGCAAAAAAATGATTTTTGTGACTTTTGATCTTGAACATTTTAGATGTGGACATGAAATTTTGAGGCACTTGACACATCTTTTAGAATATCACTATAAAGGTTTATACTAATTATTACAGTTTATTATCCCTCATTCCGAGGTTGGCCTCTTTTTTGGCAGTAAAACAGTAGTACTTTCTTATAATACTTTCTTTATTTAATAAGTAAAACAGTAGCTTTTTATAACATTTAAACAAAATAAAAAAAATACAACCAATGTTGTCACATTTTGAAAAAGAAAAATTAAAAATAGAAAAATGAAAATGGAACATTGCAGCAGACGAGAATCTTTTGGAAAAAAAAGAAAAAAAAATGAAAAATGAAGAAACAAAAAATAAAATGTTTAAATAAAATATAAAGAAACAAAATAAAAAACCAAAAAAAAAGCACAAACTCCACCACGTCTGATCTAATCCACTAACGGTAGCTACACCATCAAACAAAACATATATATCTCGCGTGCAACTGAATCGACTCAAGCCGTATATTGGTATAAAAGTTCGATTTTTAGGAAAATGGCTTATCCGATTTTCTTCTTTTTTTTTTGAAAGCCTAATCTTTTCTCCTAAAAATGCTATCCTAATGAAGAAAATCGGTTGAGTATTTATTGATAAAATTCAATTTGGCAGAAATGCATAAAAAATGAAGAAAAATGAAAACAACAACATAAATAATAAAAAAATTATTTGTGATAAAAGTAAAGAAAATTTTCAATATTTTGTATTGCGTCCCCTAGCTTTTATAACGGCTTGCATGCGATTTTTTATTTATTTTATCAATTTTTTGATAAAATCTTGAGGTATCGTATTCCATTCTTCCTCTAGCGCAGTTTTGAGCTCGACGATGCTTGATGGAGTCGTATACCTAGCTCGCACACTCCGTTTGAGCTCGTCCCATAAATGCTCAATGCAATTCAGATCAGGACTGAGGGCTGGCCACATCATCGTCTCAATTTTGCACCTCTTGAAGAAACTGGCGAGTAACACTTGCTGTATGGCACCAAGCATTATCATGCATCAATAGAAAATCTTCTCCTATGTACCCTGCATAAGGTACAACATAATCGAGGAGAATGTTTTCCACGTACTTTTGAGCTGTTAGACCACCACTCCGACCACCACCAGGCACGAAAAAAAGAAATGAGACATTCTCCCGCGGTTAAAAGTATCCTATATGTTGACCCGGATAACCAGCTATCACCATACCAAATTTCATCAAAATCCTTCCAGTGGTTTTTCTATGATGCGGTAACAAACAGACAGACAGACAGACAGAAAAAAATTCTAAAAACTTTAGATTCGGCCTCTGTATCGATAATAATGTTTATTTCAATAAGATTTTCCAAAAAATATTTAATGTACAGATTCGGCTTAGTTACAATTTTATTATATATATATAAACACCACTTTCTGTGTATTTCTCATGAAGAATGACAGAGTTTATACAATCTTTAATCCCCTATATTACCCACTTGGGGGATGAATTTTGAAAATTTTTTTCTTATTGGATGCCTACATCATATAAGGAATACGCCCTCCAAGTTTCACGTTTCTACAGCCAGTCGTTTAGGCTGTGTGTTGATCCATCAGTCAGTCAGGACCACTACAGGATGCACATCTCTTTCTTAATTCTTCCTTCAGCTAGTCTAACTTCAAGGTACAATACATTAAACAGGTAAGATGCGAACTCAATAGATGCAAAAAAAACAGGTATAAAATCCCAATAAATTGCTTAACCTCAGACTAAATGTAAATAGGCGATACGTGTGGCACTCTCTTTTCGAATATCTTCCTCATGGAGAAGACATGAAGGAAATTGGTCAGTAAAATGAGATTAGGTATTAAAATCTGTAATACAGTAATGTCTGTCATGAGTAAAAAAACGTGAAATGAAACGAACTGTTCATAATGTCATTTTGACATTGTCATATTCAAAGTTTGAACCATTTTGTTTTGTGGTTAAGTTGTTTTCAATTTAAAACTGAAAATATATAGAAAATATACTTATAATGGCGTTATTAAAAAGTTCTATAGTACGCCAATTTTGTAAGTTTTCATTTACTCCCAAAATGAGCTTAAGTAAAATCCTTTACCTACAGCTTCCATTAACAAGTTGTATTTAAAAAAATAAATTCCTAAATTTCTTGTGAGGAAAAGCTCTATTAAAGCGATAATTAAAAATAAAGAAATAATATTTATTTATAGCAGTTTCTTTTTATATTTTATATAATAATATTAATATTATGCATAATAATATTTCAGTTGCTACTACACACAGAGCCCTAGTGTCGTCGATACGACCATCGTCTAACGCCACAGTAGCAGATGAGGATGCGCCAGTAGAAATCGACAATCCTTATAAAAAAGAGAAACCGCAATGCATTTTATGCAAATTAAACATTACACCAGAAAACAAAAACTCCCGTCTTTTATCACAATTCCAAAGCCCATATACTGGAAGAATCTATGGAAGACATATCACTGGTTTATGTAAATCAAAGCAAGCTCTAGTTGAAGCTGAAATAAAAAAAGCTCAAAACTGTGCTTACATGCCATATTATTATAAGGATAAAACATTTTTGAAGGACCCTAAATTGTTTGACCCTGAAAATCCTATTCGATCGCACAGATTTTAAACTTCCGTTTAAGTAGTTGGAATTCCGTTTAAGTATGTTATGAATAAATGTTAATAAAACTTTAGTTGCAAACCTCTCATCTGTGTTTTTTTATATGTTTTAATAATCTAGCCCTAGAAATTTTACGTACTTTTGTAACAAGTAGTGTTTACAATAAATAAATAAACAAACTTTTCTTAATACAGGAAACATTTATTAAATTTTACATAACAATTGTACTCATATGAGAATTATAGTCTATTAAATATTATCTAAAATAATTTTAAGCTAAAAATTTTGAATATTGTGTTGTTGTACATTGTGTTCTACACATTAAATTCAGATAAAACGATAGTAGCATCATCAGGGGTGACAAAGCAGTCATTTTCTGAATCATATCCAACTAAGTCCGGTGGAATTTTTAGTATCTGTAATATTTCTGAGTATTCCATGTTTTCTTTATCTGGCATTTTCTTTTTCATCAGTTCTAATAACTCAGTTAATGCATTCTGACAACCTTTTTGCCATTTTTTAATTAACATTCTAAGTTCTGAGGTTTCATGTGTCATTGCTTTAGCCAGTAACAATTGTTTCTTTTTTTCTATCCTATGCTTTATTTCTTCTATATCTTTTTGAGTTATGGATCCAGTCGATTTTGCTTTTAAAGGTTTTGTAACTTTGTCATATGATTTCTTAACTAAGATAGTTTTTTTCTTTTCAAACTGAAAGTCATCATCGTCATCAAAAGATGCCGAACTCTGTGACGATGGTGTGTTCTCAATTTTTATTGGAGGTTTAGTGGTTTTAGATATTTTATTTTTTTCTTTTGTTTTAGAATGTTTTAATTCACTTGTAGATGTTGTTTTGTTCACAAGTTTTTTAATATCTATTTTTGTTTCTTGAAAGTCATCTTCATCATTAATAGGAAGACACTTAGTATTACCAGTTTTTATTTTTCCCTTATCATTGAAATTACATAATGGTACGTCGTCAGAGTCAGAATCAAATAGAACTTGAGAAAAAGGGTTGTCAACATTTGATTTCAATTTCTCATTAACCTCAGTTTTATTTTTATTGACATTTAAAGATTTAAATATTTTCTTCTGAATAAGAACAACACATTCCTTTGTTAAATCATTTGGACTCTTCTGTTTTTTAGTATCGCATTCTTTGTTGATATTTTTAACATCATTAGACTCCTGGCGTGCCTTTTCATTAATATTCTTATCTTCATTAATGCAGACATCATTTTTAGTTGTCTCCTTATTTTCAACATCTAAATCAGGTTTGTGTATTTTGCTCTTATTTTTAGAACTTGTTCTAGAGAGTTTTGACACTTTAACATCAGAACTTTTTGGACATTCTTTATTAGCTTTAAATTCATTACAATCATTTATTGTATTATTAATTACTTTTATTTCTTCAGAAATAGGTTCTTCAATAATTTCATTATTCAATACTAATGTTTTAGACTTTTTATTAACTAATAAATTGCGAGTTGGAGTCCTACTTATATCTGATGCAGTTAGTGTATTACACGAAAGTGGGCTAAAAGTAATACCTTTACCAGATATAGAATCTTGATCTGCAATGTTCTGCTGGCTGTCATCATCACTTGGTATTATCTTTCTTTTCCTAGACAATTTTTCAGTATTAGTTGCTACAGGACTATTACTAGAAGTAGATAAAGGAGAAATAAATGGGGAAGGTCCACTTTTTCTCCAATTTCGAGACAAACCAACCCTTCTTATAGGAGTTAAATACGATTTACTAATGCCGCCAGGAGTTTTAGGTGAGTCGTTTGCTGCTTTAACTGATTCCATATTATTAATTTTAACTTTAAATCATATTTCATCGGAGTTTATTATTTATGAGAAAATTTGTATACACGTTTGTTTGTTTTTATATTTTCTAGAGCTGTAGCAAACCGTATGTATTCGTTACTGAGTAACGGGTACGCCATCTAGTACCGAGTACCGAAACGTTACTCACGAATGCATTTCGTTACTCGCATTTTCCGTACATATTTTCGTACTAATGTTTTTATTGATTTTTTATCCAGCAAAATACAACTTTCAGTTAGTACTTAATACCATTGATGAGTAAATTAGAGAGTTTATTTATTTATTTCGAGTTGCATGATTTCCAGATCTTAAAAATTTTGTTTAGAAACAATTTTCAATTAGAAACAACCATTACATTTAGAACACATTTTTAGTTTTTTATCCAACAAATACTTTTTATTTATTTATTTATTTATTTATTTTAGGGAAACAAACAGTACGATATTACATAAATAATTAATAATAATAGATGACACATAAACCAATGAAGTTTCCACAAATAAACAATACACTTAAGAAGCAGACAATAATGAAAAAGAGAAAAACAAAAAGCTAGACAATAAACTAAAAAATTACAAAATGAAACACTGCTTAACATGAATAATAAAAAAAAATATAAAAAATAAGGAAAAATATAAAATACATAAAATACAAAATCAACAATTAAACAATAGGTTATTAATACTATTTTTGAAACTTAAAAGTGAATTTGAAAATATGTCTATACTTGTAAATTTTTTATTATACTCATTACATGAGCGAAGTATAAAGGTATTTCGAGCATATTTCGTTCTAGTACATGGCAGGTCAAAAATATCGTGGTTACGCTTACTAAATTTTGGAACCTTAAAATTCAAACAGCTTAATAAGAAAGGGCTTATACTTATAATTTTTACTAAATGATTATGTCAAATGAAATCAAAATATACTTTATTCAAATAAACTTTTACAAGCTCTTTTGAATCGTCAATTTTACATTTTAAATTAAAATTAAATGTTAGTCCGTTAGGAACTACCGCCGGCTCGGAATAAAGTTTTCTGCTGAGAAGAACCGGCGAGAAACTCAACAACGGCTCTTTTAAAATAATAATTGTGTACAATATTGTAATACAATTATTATCTATTTATCCTACGTGAGACATGATCATGTGATTATGTGTAATACATACAGATTATGATTTGATAAATCATTCGCGCAATTGATTTTAAATAAAATATGCATTACGACGTCACACTAACGTGATAGATGCCGTTACTTATTCATTTTTAAATTACCTATTTTTATATTTATTATTTAATTTCAAAAATTATTAATAAACAAATATTGTTAGTAAAGTTTTTAAAAATTATATAGATTTATAAATAATCAAAATTTACGGGTTCTGGATATCAAGTAACTCTCCAATTGAAATGGTTTGTTGATCGTGCATTATTCCACAGAAAACAACGCGACGTCAACGATATACGGTATAACGTATAATTTATACCGTACGCAATACATACGCAACACGACTCGATACGATGCTCTACGAGTATGTTATCGGGTATCAAAAGTAACGAGTAACGATTCAAAAGTAACGAGTACTGATGCTATAGTAACGAATGCATACGGGTACGCTATTTGTCGTTACTTTTACACCTTGAATATTTTCCACTGTCAAAAACAAAATATTAATGTTCCCCTTCCCGCTCTTTTTGCGTTCAAAAACGAAATATTGAATCTAAAAAATATTCTTTTAAAAATTGATAATAAAATACCTACGTAATGTATTTCATTTATATATTTCATAATTTCTGAGAAAAAATACAAATGTAACAGTATACTAATATGTAAAACCTGAGAATTTGGTTTTTGGTCATCTGAACGCGGGCAGAGCCGCGGGCAATGCTAGTTTACTATAATATCTCTTGTATACCTAGTTTTTGGCTGAACTATTGTGTTCGTATCTTGCCTGTGCAATGTATTTTGTCTGGAAGTTAGACTAGCTGAATAAAGAATTGAGAAGGAAAGATGTATTCTGCAGTGGTCCTGAGTCTCTTCTGACTAACTCATGGATCAGCACACAGCTTACACGGCTAGTCGTAGAAACGTGAAATTTGGAGGACGTATTCCTTATACCTACGATGTAGGCATCTGATAAGAATTTTTTTCGAAATTCATTCCCTAAGTGGGTAACACTAACATAGGAGATTATAGATTGTATGAAACTCTGTCATTCTTGATGTGAAATTCTTAGAAAGTGAACAGTATTACTTGAAACTTGGTATTAATAATGTTCTTCAATAAAATTAAATAAATATGTGTTTTAAGCATTTTTCGAAATTCAATCCCATAAACGAAAAAGAGGGATGTAAATTTGTATGAAACTCTGCAAATAATATTGAAAAAGTACAAAAAATAAAAGAAAATATTCACCTGCAGACCATTTAAGAGTTTTATAATTACATACTTTCTTGAAAATGATGTCCACATAGCCTTAAATATAAAGATTGTGATTTCGCCAATTTTCGCCAAAACTTCAGTTTTTGTCTTTTGGGAACAAATAACCATTTTCTTTGCATCCTTAGCACTGCCCAATATGTTATTTTTGTTAAATTTTTAATAAAATGAAAAAAAAACCACGCTGTAAAGTTTTACAATATAGTGAGGGTGTGTGAGGTTTGATATCTATAGTGGTAGCGACATCTGGCGGGAGAAAAAGGCAAAAATACTTCCCCATTAACTAAGTTTGTTTTTGAACTTTAAATATCTAATAAAAAAATAAATGTCAAATCCGATTGTCTATGTGCACAGTGTCGTTGCTGATTGAACCAATCAAAAATAAATTTATGTCGAGAAAAAAAATCGCGACTTTGATATCGACACGCTACTCGAATTAAGATTAAATTAGATTTCGACATAAGTGTAATTAACTTTCTGTAAATATTCTTAACTAAGATAGAAAATACAGTTTTTTTTGTGATAATATAAATAAAAACATTACATAATGCCACTGTTAAGATTGACTTCGAGTACTTTTGGGCAGCTGCGTACCTTCGCAACGTCATCAGCACTTGGAAAAAGAGTGAAGACCTTTGCAGTTTATCGTTGGAACCCTGACGAGCCTGATAAGAAACCATATACTCAAAACTTTGAAGTTGATCTCGATGACTGCGCTCCCATGGTGCTTGACGCCTTACTTAAAATCAAAAATGAAATGGATCCGACCCTCACTTTCAGAAGGTCATGTCGTGAAGGTGTCTGTGGTTCATGTGCGATGAACATTGATGGCATTAACACTCTTGCATGCATTAGCCACATCGACCAGGATCTTTCGAAACCATCGAAGATATATCCACTACCTCATATGTATGTGGTAAAGGACCTTGTCCCTGATCTAACTAACTTTTACCGTCAATATCAATCCATAGAGCCATGGTTACAGCGTGATAAGGAAGTTGTTAAAGGTAAGGAGGTCCAGTTGCTCCAAGATGCAGAAGATAGAGCAAAGCTTGATGGACTGTATGAATGTGTGCTCTGTGCTTGCTGTTCCACAAGTTGTCCATCATACTGGTGGAATGGTGATAAGTATTTGGGCCCCGCAGTACTGATGCAGGCTTATAGGTGGATCATTGACTCTCGTGATGATGCCGCTGCCAAACGCTTGTCAAAACTGAAGGATACCTACTCAGTTTATCGGTGTCACACCATTATGAATTGCACAAGAACTTGTCCGAAAGGCCTGAATCCTGGTAGAGCTATTGCCCAAATCAAAACCTTATTATCAGGGATGGTTAAGAAGCCAACACCTATCATGGACCCCGCAGGTTTGGAAAAACAAGCTGTACAGAACTAATAACATTGAATGTAGCTACAAATTCTGTTAAGTTTTGCAATTAATATGTTAGTTGACCATAATTGACTATTAAAACAAAATGATTTAATACAATTTGAATTCAAAATCAGCATAATTTTCTCAGTATTTTGTGTGATATTCTATAGTGAAATTTTAAATTTTATAACTATTTTTAATTGTCTGTTGGATCAAACAATAAATTTAGTCTTGACTCTGTACTTACAATACAAGTACATAGCTTTTTTTAAAAAATATATTCGAAAAGTAGTAAGAAAAGGTTGAAAATTTTTAATGACTGAAATTAAAACAATAAATATTATTAAATTTAGTGAAATTGCTTATAGTATTATGCCATCTTCATTAAAAAAGGTCATGTAACATACATTCTATGCACTGAAAATGTATTGCTAAAGGCCCATATAACTTAAAATAAATACAAATCTAATGCTGAATTATTATAACAATCTCTTTTAAAATTATGTTCAGCTTATTTAGATTGTATAATGTGTTAAGTATTTTTAGTGCTAAGACAATAGAATAAAAAAGTACAAAAAAGCTATACTGGATAGAAATGTTTAACAAGCAACTAAAACCTCAAGTTTTGTGATTCTGTTATCCCGCAACAATCATGTACATCTTTCAAGCGTAAATTATTGTCATTATTTATTTTCATTGTTAGGTGTATGATGTATTAGGTTACATTGTAATATTTTGTTGAATAAAGTTTTATTTTCCTGCAGTTTTTTTTTCATTTTTTGTCAAATGTTATATTTTTTTTTATAATTTACAGAACTAATCTAAGTGAAAGAATAATAGAATGATAGTCATTATCACTTGGTATGGTATGGTATGTTCGGGCTGTTTTCCGCAACTCGACGACTTTATATATGTAGCAATATACTCTATGTCGACGACTAATTTTTGAGTTGGTAATACTGATTAATTCTTATTTTATTACTAGCGACTTATTCTTGCTTCGTTCAAGTGCGTCCCTAGGTATGTTTTAATTTTTTTGAGTGGAACCCTAATTCTTTTTCTAAAATAAAAGTAGCCTAAGTTACTCCTTATAACATCAGCTATTTGCCAGTGAAAGTCAACAAACGGACAAACAGAAAAAAAAACATTAAAAGTTGTGTTTTTCTTGAAAAAAAGAATTAGGGTTCCACTCAAAAAAAAAACATAAGACGAAACCAAACGAAGCGAGTGTCGCTAATTTAAGAAAAACTTTATCTGATTATTTGTGCACTTTCACCTTAGTAGATTCAACGTTACCACGAGTAAGATACGACTCGATTTACAAAACCTAGTAAAGAAAAGATTATTCATCTTTTCTATTATAATTATAACTTAAAATTGCTATAGTTATCAGTATAAAAGCTACATACCAAATCTCAGTAACAAGTCATATTTCACACATGTATATATTTAACCTTATTTAAAAAAGGCGGATGGTTGAGGTTAATTAATAGCAGCGATAATTAAGTACTTACGCAATAAAGAACGGAAAGTTTTAATGAACTATCGCTGATATGAAGCAAGACAGTGCTTTGAAGTTCGAACTATGTCAGCGATGTTTGATATTCTTATAATGTATTATAATTTGCATTTTAGAGATACGAACTCTATATCCCATTATATTTTTTTTACTTATAAGGTACATACACTCATTTTAAAGTCGCTGTGAAAGTAACCACAGTGCATATAATGTAACCTTGAAGTGGAAACTTATATGGATTTGTACCAGTCAGAATATAAGTGGGAGTTGAGACCAAATTTGAAATAAGCACTGTACCGATGAAATAAAATTTAGCCTTTTCTTTGTGAAATGCGGTTTCAATTTTTATTTGATTGTGAGCTGAATCTTATAATATCTACTACAAGACGTGTTTGTCTTCTAATAAAAAAAAAATACTTTAACTACGTAAAGGTCAGTTAAATAGTCAATAATCATGATGTATTATATGAATTCCAACAGATACTTGAAATTATTTAATTTTAAATAACACCCGGCTATTTTATTGCGAGTTAATTATGTTGCGTTTTGCGTAAGAATTTATGCTATTGGAATATTTTTTTTTATATATGGAAATATGTATATCAATAAAAAGCAGTTTTATCTAAGCGTCGCGTCGGCAGAAGTTGATAGCTTCGAGGTTGAAAAATGTTGTGCAATAATGTGTCCTGACTCCAGGCTCGCCGAGACGCACCGTATTGGTTGTTAAAAACGTGTTTTGAATTGTAGTTATGTTACTTTTGTATAGGTACATTTGAATTATTAAGTAAAAATATTTGTCTATTTCTTTTAGTCTCTTGTGACCATGATTGCTATAAAAATCCAAAAAGATAATTTTAATTAAAACTAGCAGAACCCGCGGCTTCGCCCGCGATCAAACTACGAAAATTAAAATAAACTTAAACAATACTGAGGTACTTTATTACTTGTAAAAATAAGTTCATGTAAGATTTATTATTTCTTAAAGATATATGGAAAACAAATTTAATTTTAGCGATCGTCACTCAAAGTATCCAGTACCTATCTTAAAAGATGTTAAGTGTATATTCTATAAATAAATTTACACTTTAGGTGTTTTGAAAGCTAAACTACCTGTATTTTTTGCACATTTTTCTACTCCATCTTTCCAAAATTAGAGGAACAGAGTACTCTCTTAAATCTACGTCTGCTACTGTTAAGGACTGGCCCTGAGTTATATAAAAGGTCATTGCAAAGCAAACTTAAAGAAGGAATTACAATAGATTAAATTCAAAGGCTTAGTCAGATGTTATCACTGGTATTCGAGGTATGAATTATGTTTCCCCCAAAGCACATCCAGCAAACGTAATCCTATCCTGTTATATCCTACTATAAAGGTAAGGATACAATACCTAGAACAAAAATTGTACCTTGAAACTACGATATTAAATAAAACTATCTTTTCGGATTATTTTGCAGATTTATTTCTATATATTTATTATAATCCGAAAAGATAGTTTTATTTAATAATGTCAAACATTCGCGTAAATCTAAGAAAATATTATTGAAACTACGAGTAAACCATGAAATCGTACATATTTTATTTTGGAATATATGTATTTAAATGAAGTTATTAATATTTAAAAAAATAAGAGTGGTACTTAATATCTTCAATATATTTTAAGCATTAAGATAATTTCCATATATGTAACGTTCATTTATTCCACCCTATATAAATACAAGGAGAATATGCATCAAAAGTTTAATGAACTGGCACACGGCTAACTAGATACTAGATATTATGCAATATGTTCGCATTACCAGGGAATTTTACATTCAATCTTATCTTACTACTATATAAATGTGAAAGTTTGGATGGATGGTTGTTTGTTACTCAATCACGCCAGAACGGCTGAACGGATCTGGATGAAATTTGGCATAGAGATAGATTAAAGTCTGAGTAATTATAGAGAGAGAGAGAGAGTAGCCTATGTGTTAACATAGGCTACTTTTTATCCCGGATAATTGTACGGTTCCCGTGGGATAGATTTTTGTTTTTCAATACGGACGTACCCGTGCGAAGAGAGGGTGAGCCATTAGTAATAAATATTCAAAGCTAGTAGTCGCTTATACAATAATATATAAGGGAAAAAATAAAAAAAAGTCGACGATTGAATAATTTATATATTTTCCTTATATACATAATATAATAATTACATAACATTAAAATCATAAGGTACAAAATTTATATAATTAATTTCTATAATTACGATTTTTGTTAAATTTCAATAATAAACAGTTTAATTAAAACAGTGAACAAATTCCCTGTCGGCAGGGTACAGGACTAAAATCTAAATTGATGTACACAAAATTGATACTAAGGGCCTATACACACTGTGTATGATTTAAAAAAATGTAAATAACGTGCGTTCGTATCGACGACCGATACAAAGTAGTATCAGTCATCGGGTGCAAATATTTATTATTTAATTAATGCTTAATACGGTAAGCTTTAAGGTTTAAGCCTTGTTAGGAAACCAATGGGAAACGTGAAAATCGATTAAAATCGGTTTGAGTTATCATTTAAAATTTTAATCGATTTTCATCATCGTCACAAAACAACTAAATAATAAACTAGATTTACGTATCTTTTAAAGTCGGTTCAAAATTATTGCACTTGCAGCACTTTTCAAATGGTTACTTTTTAAATATAATTTAGTCGTTAACTTTATATATCTTTATTAATTCTATCTTAATTGAAGCTGCACAAAATAAAATAGAAAATTAATATATATTTAATTATTTTTTTTTACTTTTTTCATTATTATTAATGTTCAAATAAGTTAAGCCTTCAAGTTTCTTTTCTATTCATTGTAAGCTCCATGGAAATTAATCCGGAATTTTGATTCACAGTACAGAAATCACTATTACTAATATGAGTAATAATTCTCGTATTAAAGAAATAAAAAGATAAATAAAGTCATATAAATAACATTTTAAGTAGATTTATTTCTTTCAATAAAATGTTAAAACTTTAAATGCCTTATTATTAAACAGAGCACATAAATTCAGGTCTTTATAGTTCAAAATGGGTTAATTTTATTTGAAATTTGTACAATTCAAATATAATGACATATTATTTTGTAATAACAAAATATAAAATAATCACAATATTGGAAAACTTTAAACGACTTTCCTATCCAACATACTTTAAGTTTTCCGTTATCTCATTTGAGCCGCTCACTACTTAATTTTTAGCTTTGAAATTATAACATATTAATTAACATATAAATCTATAGATATAATGAAATTCAAACTGAGACAAATCTGTACATTATTATTATTTTTAAATCTTATTAAAACAGTCATTATTATCGATACAAAAGCTGAATCTATAGTTTTAATAATTTTAGTCTGTCTGGGAACGCATCACGAGAAAACCACTAAACTGATTTAATGAAATTTGGTATAGTGATAGCTGGTTATCCGGATAAACATATAGGATACTTTTTACTGCCGGGAAATATCTCATCTCTGAGAAATAATAATATACTAACCGTTATTATAAGGATGAATTTAATTTAATAAATGTACATATTGAATTCATTCATAAAATGTGCAATTTGCGGTGAGTTCCATAGTTATAATTTAAGTGAATGTTTATTAATAAGGCTTTCAAATTTCGATATAAATAATGATCACTAATAGCTATAAATATCAACAAAGTGCTATAAAATCTCTCAAGTACTATTAAATGTAGAATAATAAGCACAGTTATTCATTCGGCATAGCAAATACATATCTCAACTTATTATAAGTTGCCAATTATTTTCAAAGTAACAAACAAACAAAATTATTAACATATAAATAATAATTTGCTTATTTATTTATTAGATTTTATTTTATTATATCTTATTATTATACTTTTATTATATGTTCTTTTTACTTTAATATTCCAATCAGCATTCTCTTATAACCTTAACCTGTCACAAAATGAAAAATGACACTTTTTCTTTTTAATAATTGCCTATGGTTATTAATTATACTGCCCAATTTATTTTGTTATTTGAAAAAGTTCTTTATCAATTTTTATTAATTATTGAAATAAAAAAAGTAATAATTATATATTTATTTAAGTGACAGGATTTCTTCGTGACAGAAAGTGCAATTTTGGTTTATAGAGATCAGATGTATCATATCTCTGTATTTTGCTGCGTTTGATTTTGCCGTTGGGTGTTTGCGCTGTATTTTGTTCGTAGTTTTCCACTGATTTATCACTGGATGGACTGTTTGGTAGAACTGGAACATAAAATCACACTGCTAGTACGATTGTGAAAGTTTCTTTATCAACCGACTTCAAAAAGGAGGAGGTTCTCAATTCGACTGTATTTTTTTTATGTTTGTTACCTCAGAACTTCGTCATTTATTAACCGATTTGGACAATTTTTGTTTTATTTCAAAGTGTATACTTCTAGATTGGTCCCATTTAAATTTAAAAAGAAAATACCACCCCTAAGGGTGGAAAAATAGCTAATGACTTTGAGTTTGAGCTTATTTTGTTTGATTTGACAAGCCTAACACGTTAGAATTCTTACTTTGCTACTACTGTCTACACTAAAAAGGTAAAAATAAAAACTTTTTAACAAAAAAATAAAAACCGACTTCAACAAAAGCACTAAAAAGTAAAAAATAACTGATTGGTAGTTTTCATTTACTATACATACCTAATCAAATATTTTCGAAGTCGGAAGGAATACCTTGTACATCAGTGGCGATGGGTCAATACAAGACATCTTACCTTATAATTATTTTGCTATAATTTTACATACATTTAATTTTTTAAATGTATAAATAAGTATAGTCCATCAATTCCATACTAACCGTTAAAACGTACCTAGGGATGAACCCGAGCGAAGCGAGTCGCTAAACTATAGCCCCGACATGTAATTCGTCATTTAGTGGTAGCGGCCATCTTGGATTTGAAATTTATCATAACATAATAGATCATAGTGTATAGTTTTCTACTAGTCAAGCGCTTTCATTTGATACCATGTTGAGGGAGTTGTGAAAAAATATGTAATTCACCATTTTGTGGCGGCAGCCATCTTGGACCGATTTTAATCAAACATAGCTAAGAACACTCCCGACTAATTCACCTTTCAAACAAAAAAAAAACAAAATCAAAATCGGTTCATCCGTTCCAGAGGTACGATACCACAGACACATACATACATACACACACACACACACACACACACACACACACACACAAACACACACGCACGCACTCACGCACGCCCGCACGCACGCACGCACACACCCCGTCGTCTTCGTGTCGGGGGTTAAAAATAGAACTTTATTATACAGTAAAGTGTTTTCTTTATCACTGGGACTGGTCGAGTCACCGCTAGTTGACGTACTTTCAGATTTGGAACTGCTTTTGCTATCTACAAAATCTCTCGCCCTTAGCATTCATTTTCTACACGTATATGATGATATTTCAGTATGGAAATTACGTCAATTTTTGATTTTAGCACAGATGCAGAAAAATATTTAAAACTTAGTTATTATATATTTAACTTAAAACCTACCAGTTCGTTTTGGTCTGGGAAGTCCAACCCTTTTAGCTTTTCCCAAATACTTCGATCTAGTATTATTCAATTTATTAGGTATTTCTTCATTTTCTGAAACATTTAAAATAAATATTAACTTTTAATGAAGACTAAACTTGAATTTAGTAAATCAGTTTTAATTGTAATAATAAAAGTTAAATAAAAAGATATTTTCATATACAATACATACCTTGAGTCGTAGAAGTTATCTGTTCTGTGCTTAATTTTCTAATCTTATTAGGAGTCAAAACATGTCTATTATTATTTAAAATATTATTACTTTCATCATTCATTTTTCTTTTTAAATTGTTATCAATATCGTTATCGATTTTGGAGTCTGTGAAATAATCGATTGTTGGCATTTTACTTGGCGATGTATTAGCATTGCCAAGTATAATTTCCATAATTTCTTGTCTGGATGTTTTATTGACCATTTCTTCTAATTTTGCGTCATAATCGCTTAATTCAAATGAACATTCAGATTTATCTGGAGTGAAAATACTAGATTTTAGACTTTCGTCATAATCATTGTCTATGGGTAGAGATATTTCTGTTGAAATATTAACATTTTTAATGACATTTTTAATTTTTGGCAGTTTCAAATGGCCATTCTTCTGATAACTCACAATTTCAAAGTTGCCGATCTTTTTTGATTCATTGCGTATTAAATTTTCTACATAAGAATCGCAATTTATAAGATACAATTTGCTTGGTGTTTTCGTATATTCTTTTAGAAAGTTATTAAACTTAGCTGTTTCTATTTCCGCGTTATATTTTTCGTGTTCTGCAAAATAATGCATTTTAACTTCTCCATTTATATAATATTCTGTCTTGTTAGACTTGTTTTTCTTATCATCTAACTTTATTTTGGATTTGACATTGTCGTTAAGTGGTTCTTCATTTTCAGACAGTTCCTCAGCGACGATGGTAATTTCAAATTCAGTTTTTATTTCAATACGTTCATTAGAATTTTTAACGTCATTGTTATTTTCGTGTATATTTTCAGTTTCTTTAGCAGTATCTATATTGGCTTGAATTTTATTGTTCTCAATAGCATTAAAACTTTCATCATTTTCATTGTCTATTTCATTTATATTTGATATTTTATCAGGTTCTTTTTGAGTCATTTGTTGATGATTTCTTTCTACTTCTATTGTAGCGTCGTTTAAGACATTTAAAAGCTGATTATTTGTATAATGCGTTTCTTGAACATATTCTCGGTTTGAAATATTATCATTATTATGTACCATTAACTCTTGATCTTGCCCAGTATTTGTTACACAAGCAAATTCTAGCTCTGGCCCTGATATATTAGAATAAACTTGACTTAAACTTGGTCGCACATTAGCTTGAAATTCTAATAGCAATACTGCTTCTTGATTCATTCTCTTTTGTTCTTCGTCTAAAAACTTTCGCATTTTCATCAGACGCTTCGCCTCTTCCAAATTCGCTGCGAATTTAGGTTTCTTTATCGTGACGTCTGGAACGAATGGTAACCTCGGGGGAGATGCTACGGGCAGTTCTAAATGACTTTCGATTCTAACTGGTTTATTCTGAGTATCATTGGCTTTGGTACCATGATCCTGGACTATGTTTTCTTTATCACTGGGACTGGTCGAGTCACCGCTAGTTGACGTACTTTCAGATTTGGAACTGCTTTTACTTTCTTTTTTACTCACTGAAGACTTAGAACTTGATGGATGATTTGAACCTTTCGAAGAAGAACTACCATCATTCGAATCTCTGTCGGTAGAACGCCTATTAGGATTGTTTCTACCGGACAGGCTGTAATGATCATCTGTTTCTTTTTTAGTCTTTTTATTTTTATCTTTACCATCATTTTTGTGTTTGCTATTTTTGTCACTTTTGCTACTACTGCTGCTACTTTTTCTATCTTTGTCTGACCGATGCGAAGTTGACTTGGAATCTTTCGGTTTATCCATACTCTTATCGGATTTATCTTTATCTTTTTGACTTGAGGACGATGATGATTTCTTTTCATCTGAATGTTTGCTTGAATGTCTGTGACTTGAACTAGAGCTTCTGTGTGATTTTGAATCTTTGTGACTTGATTTATGAGAACTTCTATGGCGCGATGAATCTCTACTATCTTTTTTATCACTTCTATCTCTAGATCTGTCTTTATCACTCGATTTAGATTTGCTTTCATCTTTCGAAGATCTACTTTTGTCGTGTTTACTGTCTCTAGAACTTGACTGCTTCGAATCTGACCTTTTATCTTTACTGCTTGAATGCTTGTGAGAATCTCTAGAACGGTGTGAGCTTTTGTGATTACTCTTCTTCTCTTCTGGCTTTCGTTCTTTTTTAAATTCTTCTGAATTCTGATTTGACTCACTTTCCGTCACTTTAGCGTCAGCAACGACTTTACTATTTGCATCGCTTTCGTAATCAATTTGCAAGTTGTTGCTATTAGAACTATCTTCATAGAGAGGAGTGTTGAAGTTGTTTATATTAACTTGATTATTAAATTGATAAGATAGATTAGCTTCTGTTTCTTTTTTCTCTTCTTTGACAACTTCTGTATTATTTTCGGATTTAGCATCAATTGCAAATTTGAATGAACTTGGCTCTTTTTCGTCGTCCTCTTTACGTTCTACATCATTTTCGAAACCTTGTTGAGCGTCACATGAATTTTCATTATTGAAATTTCTTATTGGCGTTAGAGGAGACATATTTCTCCTAAGTGAAGAATCAGAGCTTGAGTCGTCATCGTCACTGTTTATAGGTTTGAAGAATTTATCGTTCTCTTCCTTATTAATATCTTCTGGTAATGGTATATCTGTGGATATTATTAGTTCCTTGGGTAATTCAATTTTCTCTAATTCAACTTTGGGTGGACTGTTGTCAGGTGAAGGAATATTTTCGGGCTTTATCTCCTCGGAGGGTAAAGGTATATTACTTTTATCATCAGAATTTGAATTGCTGTTAGGAAGTTGGATATCTTCAGTTTTTTCTTCTTTATTATATTCTGTAGTATCTTCTTTAATTTCACTTTTAGATTTTTCTTCATCAATGTCCATTTTGCTTTCTTCTTGAATATTGTCAATTTCCATTTCATCATTTTTGTCATCATTACTCTTAACAGATCCTGGGCTTACTGCTTCAAGATCAGTTGGCAATAAATCATCAACTTTGCCATTTGAAGTGTCTGCGGTAACTGATTTTTTTCTAGCAATTCCCAAGTAATTGTATACTAAATCTTCAACTTTAGGTATAAAGACAGATGCCACTTTTGGATTAACCACTTGGTCTACTATTCTTTCTACGCCTTGCTCTAAGTAATTGCCACTGAAATATTTAAAATTCTTTTATTAGATTTAGATTTTTGAAGTGAAAACTTTTTTAGCCATGTTGAGCAATTTTTAGTAGGGGCAAAACTTATGGGTTCGCGTCACCGACATTTTCAGTGTGACATATCATTTTCATTTTTTTTTCGTTTCGACGCAATCTGGCGAAGACAGGCGAGGCGAAGACAGGCGACGCGCAGCGTCATATATTTTGATTAATAAATAAACAATATCAAAATGTATATAATAATTATTGCTCAGAGTGCCATCGAATGTGAAAACCAGACTAATACCAATTTCTATTTACAAATTATGAAATTTTAATTATTCATACTATAATTAATTTAAAAACTAAAAAAAAAACACAATTATTTCAAAGTTACAAGTCAAGTTTCACTCCCATTGGCAGTATGGGGACTATTTTTTTTTTTTTTAGAAACTATCCTGAACTAAAAAAAGTTGAAAAATTGTTGTAATTTTGAATGAATTTATATATAAAGAATTTTAAATATACTAGTTTTAACTGTGATTCAGAAAATGTTTTAATTCAGAAAATTTCTCTCCATGCTTATTAAATTTTCCAAGTTTCTCTTTCACCTAAGCTGTTTTTTAAACTCATAATTTACAACTTCAATAGTTATATAATAAACTGTCTCAGTTATCAGTTAGTATGTATAGCTGCATATTCAGAGGTCTTGGATTCGAGTCTAGGGTCGGTTTATATTTAGTTATCGAGTCTTTCTGTTAAAAAAAACCAGTAACAGCCTAGAGTTTGGAAGATGACAGTAAGTCATCCTTGTGCCTCTAAAAGCAAGTAAAGCCCGTGGTCTTGCAACTGATCTCTCACTGGTTGTATCGAATTATTGTCACATTGGAATCTGAGTGAAAGTAATAGAGTGCCCTAGTGCAAGGCATATACTTGTGCACTATAATATCTGCTGCACAAACTGTGGCCAAAATCAGTCAGGATGACATCATTTCCCTCAATTAATATATACAAGTGTCAAATTATTTATATGTACACACTTTACTTTACTTTAGGGCATTGTTTTTACTTAGTTATATAAGTTTTAGCTATCCACTTTTACAATGAGGCTTTACACACATTCACATTATAACATTAATTATTGATAATTTGTATACTCTAATATAACATAAGCTAGCAAAACAAAGAATAATTTTAAACTTACTCTAAAATATGCTTCCTGAGCTTTTCTCTTAACTGATTCTTATTTAAGTCTGGCTGCCATGTTTGTCTTGATAGAAATGTTGAAACTGAATTTTCTACCCTTTGCCGGAGGTTTTGATAAGCAGGTCTTGTGTCAACATCTGCTATGCAATCTTTACGAAACTGAGGAAATATATAGGTATAAAAATATGTATGTTATGAATTTATATTGGTATGTTTTGTTTAATTTCCAATATAAAGATTGACAGGCATTTAAAAAAATATACAATTTATGTTTAATATTTGCTTAAAGCTTTCAATATAACAAAAACTGTAATAATTTTTTTTTGTAAAATATTAAGCAAACAAAAAAGTTTAGTTATTATGAACCCTTAAGCATTTGAAATGGTTTTATTTTAATTTGTGAATGCTTCTTTTCTTTCTATAATCTTTTTTTCTAAGTTGTTACTATATTACTATCTGTATTATATGCAACAAATGTAAGTTTCTAAATTATTTAGTAAAGGATTTTCAATGGCACCTTTAAGGCATATGTTATTTTTACATTAAAAAACAAAAAATAACTAGTTATTAGCTAAATTTACAATTGTAATAATGCACTTCGGTTAATTGGGCATAGAAAATTGATCCTACAAATTAAATCAATATTCTCATGTCACATTTAGTTAGTGTCCTTTTATTTAAAAGAAGCAAAGTGTCTAGATGTACATGTTCATAATAAGCGAAAGGTATATAATTCGCCTAGTATATTTGGATCGACTATGTTACTTTTCGATATTATATTTAAAATGTCAAGACACAAAAATCGTGAATAAAAGAATTCAATTTATAATAAGAAAAAGTGAATTAGAAAGTTCTTATGCTACGAATAACAATAAATATTTAATCAGTTTCTATTATGAGTGCTTTGTAGCTTTACATTATTATTATATTACTTACCTGATCAAAAATTCCTTTGGATTTTAATTCATAAACTAATTGATCGACTAAACGAGGGTCACCCGGCATATATTGTAAATGTGCCATTTTTAGTATTACATATAACGCATAAGTTAATAATTTATAACAAATTATATCTTAAAACTTATTTTAATATTTTAAAGTAACAAAATCGCTCTACACAAACTTCTTAAAATCAAAATAATTCTTGACAATTGGTCAATGACAACCAAATCAATGCTTCAGTGTTAGTTTTCAATTAGATTTTTTTACACAGGACTATGGACAAGCAGCCATTTTTTTTAATTTATTTTATATTAATTTTCACATATTTTTTTTTAAACAAAATAATTCTGCTGGTTACGTGGGCCAAAGCTTTTAAATAACTGCATTCGTATTTCGTTTATGTGTGTTACAACGTTACCCTTACCGAATAATCTATAAATTATGAAACTATAAGAAGCTGGCAAGAAACCCAAGCTCTTGTCAAAAATTTAAATTGTAAATTTCGTTGTGAGTTCGTTAATCGTTTTAGTATTTTTTCTGTAAATTATAAAGTAAGTGGAAAAGATGAAAGGAAACTCAGAAAATCTCAACTTAGATACAGTGATAATTAATAGGGAGAATCTTGAGCGAAAAGCTTTAGGTAAGTATCTTTTTAAACTTTAATATGTATTTCGAAAAGCTACCCGGTTAAAATAGAAGACACTTGTGACTTGTTTGGTGTTGTGACATTTCTGGATTGACCTTCTAAAGTCGGTTAATAGGCCAGATATATTGTGTTTTTATAACCTAAACAAACAAAAAGTATTATTAATAAATTAAAATGAACAAATTAACAACATATACGATAAAAGAAATTCATCAAAATTTTCGTGATAAGCTCCTTACGCCGACAAGCTTTGTGGACTTGTGTATTCAGAGAGCGAAACAAACAAAAGAATTAAATGCATTTATAAAGTTAACAGAGGAAGTAGCTGAAAATCATGCTATTGATAGTGAGAAACGAATATATATCGATAAGAAAAATAAACCACTGGATGGAATAACTATTGCTATCAAAGATAACTTTTGTACCAAAAATATCACTACTACCTGCGCTTCGAATATGTTAAAAAACTTCGTACCAACTTACGATGCGACAGTTTACTCGAGACTTATCAAGGCTGGCGCATGTTTGATTGGGAAAACGAATTTAGATGAGTTTGCTATGGGTGCAGGGACAGTGGACTCTATTTTTGGTCCAACTCGTAATCCTTGGTGTTACAGTGAAGATTGGAGGATATCTGGTGGCAGTTCTGGAGGTAGTGCAGTTGTTGTAGCTACTGGTTCATGTGTAGCAGCTATAGGATCAGATACAGGAGGATCTACGAGAAATCCAGCGGCTTTATGTGGTGTAGTAGGACTGAAACCAACTTATGGGTTAGTTTCTCGGTATGGATTGATACCTTTAGTTAATTCCATGGATGTACCAGGGATATTAGCGAGAAATATTGATGACTTGTCTATGATTTTAAACTGTGTAGCAGGTCCTGATAATTTGGATTCTACTACAATAAAGAAAGAATTTAAACCAATAAGTATTAAAAATGATTTTGATTTGACAAATATAAAAATTGGTATACCAAAAGAATATTACTGTCCAGGTATGGACGATGAAGTGTTAGATGTATGGAGAAATGTTACAGATTTTCTTGAAAATGAAAAATGTCATGTAACTTCTGTTTCATTACCACATACATCAGTATCTATAGCTGTATATTCAATTTTAAATCAATGCGAAGTAGCAAGTAATATGGCAAGGTATGACGGCTTAGAATATGGTCTGAGAACATCTGAAGATTACTCTACAGAAGAATTATATGCTTCATCTCGCAGTGCAGGATTCAACAATGTTGTAAGATCCAGAATATTTGCAGGCAATTATTTCTTGCTGACTAGAAATTATGAAAAGTACTTTTTAAAAGCTTTGAAGCTCCGAAGACTGATTGCTGATGATTTTAATAAGGTGTTTTTTGGGGAAGATGCTGTTGACCTGCTATTAACACCAACTACTTTAAGTGATGCACCTTTATATAATGAATTTAAATCTAAACATAACAGAGATCAGTGTGCCTTCCAGGATTATTGCACTCAGCCTTCCAATATGGCTGGTATACCAGCTATATCGATACCTATAAAGTTATCTAGAAATAATTTGCCCTTATCATTACAATTAATGGGTCCTTCTTTATCAGAGGAACTTTTATTCAATGTAGCAAAGAAGATTGAAAGTGCAGTTCAATTTCCGAGTGTTCAGATTGAATAAATATGTTTTAGCATGAAATTATTATTAACAATAAGTGCTATGTAATAAGTTAAATAAATTATTGTATATGAAGTTATTTTGCTTATTTATACCCCACATCACTATAATTTTAATAATAATATTTTACTACAATTTTTTTTTACAATACTTTGATTTTTAATAAATATTTTTAATTAGACAAGTAACTTTATTCTATGTATTTTAATATTTGCCTTATATTATTTAAAATTATATAAAGATTATATAAGATTTAGTGAGAAACAATAAATGGTAATGCAAGTTTATTATAAGCACTTATAATATTCCGTAATAATTTAACTTATTAAAATATCTAATAAAACATGTATATAATTAATTGTTGTCATTATTTTGCAGCATCTCTGACATCGGAAGTATTAAAAAAACTGAACATATCTATTGAAAACTTACCACAGAAGTGTCAAAATTTGTTACAACAAACAGCCGAAAGTCAATCGTCATTAGAAATTGAACAGCTGGATGCTACATCTATATGTTTATACCGTTCTAAAGAAATATCTGCTAAACTAGAAGATGACTATGAAATACTGAAATTAAAGCAAAAGAATGCCGAATTACAAGCAAAAATTGATAGAAATAACAAATTTCTAGGAGGATTGCGGAACGAATTGGAGAGTTCTAAAAGATCTTTGATGAACCAAACTCCAAATCCTGAAAACATACAGGACCATATTAGGCAGATAAAGCAAAAGCTTATATCTTATGAGGAAAGCTATGAAAAAGCTAAGGTAATGTGTTTTTTAATATCTCAGTTGCTATTATATTATAAAATACATAATAAGAGTCTGTTGGGACATTAACACACAGCACCACAGTAAGCTACAAGGCTTGTGTTATGGATATCAGATAGTTGATACAATACACACATATTATAAATATAAACACCCATGACTGGAATACAAACATTCATCCGTATCACATAAATAAAAACCCGCGGCCGTGGGCACGCTACAAATTGAGCCAAATGTGTTGTCGAAGGTATAAAAAGGTAGTTATTTATCTGTACAAGCTCTTTATAATTGTTGTGTTTATTTAGTAGGTTTTTCATGTTAATGGCTAGAAAACTGTAGTTTTATAAAAAAAAATAAAGGTGGCTCTCCAATCTCCATACATGTAACTGGAGGGTCAATATGTTTTTAAATCCACATATAATAGATGTTTCTTAGTGTTTTTTATTCAAATTCATTCTTTTACAGTCGCATGCTACATATTTTTATAATATGTAAAAGTTGTCATTGTTTATGATATAAAAATTTAAATACTTTTTAGATTAATGCAAATATTTGATATTATAAATAAAACCATCTTTTCGGATTTTTTCGGATTATGTTCCTGATAATTCGGATGCTTTACAGCAATAGTGGTCACAGGAGAGACTAAGGTTTTAGACGTCTCAAAGGTTTATACTTTTTACAGACAGTGCCCACTTTATAAAATGATAAAAATACAAAAATGGCACAAAAGTAATGATACATTTTATATAAAGATTGTTTTTTTGTGGTTTTCACTGTAGAAAAATAACGGGACCCCAAAAAACTTACCCTTGTTAAGTATTCTAGAGATTCTACAATTGTTTATAAAAATCTAATATTATAAATGTGAATGTGTGTTTGTTTGTCCTTCTTTCACGTCGAAACGGAGAGACGGATTGGCGTGATTTTTTGTGTGGAGATAGTTGGAGGACTGGAGAGTGACATAGGCTACTTTTTACTGCGGGAGATTATCTAATGCCCACAGGAAAACACGTTATAATACAATCCAAAAAAATATTTTTGATTAGAATTACTTGAAACTTAGTATTAACGCTCTTCAATAAAATTAAATAATTACATGTTTTAGGAATTTTCGAAATTCATCCTATAAGGGGGTAAAATAGGTGATGAAAGTTTGTATGAAATTACCTTTTTAGAGATTCTTTTGTAGGTTTAGCTCGAGCGAAGCCGCGGGTTGAGCTAGTTTTAAATAAAACAATGTTTTCGGATCTTACAATAATTGTTTATTTTAATTCTAAACATTAAAAAAGATGTATTTTGTTCCCAGAGCAAATATACAGTACTGACGGTGCCGGAGCCGCTGCAGCCGGCGCGGCTGGGCGCGCGCGCGGCGTCGCTGGCGGGGCTGCGGGCGCGCGCCGCGCGGCTTCGGCAGCGCGCGGATGACGTCACGCTCGTGCGGGAGGCGCGCGACGTTTGCCGGCATTTGAGGAGATAGGGCTGAGTGGGTGTGTGTATGTGGGGATATATGTAGGAGGTAGTGTGTGTGTATAATATAAACTCATTGTGTGTAGTTATTTTATAATCTTAGACAAACATTTTTTTTTTAATTAATTTTTTTTATTTTTTTATATAAATACAGACAGACTAGCAATATAAATATGTTATGATTTTTTTCATGTATACTAATAGTGCATTGTGTTATTTATATATTAAAATGTATCATTTTAATGTGTGTCTTCGGACAGTTTCTCTTCTTGTACTTCAATGCACGGCCAACTGCATATTGTAAATACTTGAGCTGAAAAATTAAAAAAAAAAACAAGTTTATATATTATTTAGATATTTTTTATTAAATACTAGCAGAACTCGCGGCTTCGCTCGCGCTAAAACTACAAAAAAAATATTTTAAAAGGTAGTTTCATACAAACTTTCATCCCCTATTTTACCCCCTTATAGAATGAGTTTCGAAAAATGCTAAAACACGTATTTATTGAAAAGCATTAATACCAAGTTTCAAGTAATTTTGATCTAAAATATTTTTTTGGATTGTATTAAAACGTGTTTTTCCGTGGGAATCAAATAATCTCCCGCGGTAAAAAGTAGTTTATGTCACTCCAGCCCTCCAACTATATCCACACAAAAAATCACGCCAATCAGTCTCTCCGTTTCGACGTGAAAGAAGGACAAACAAAAACACTTTCACATTAATTATAATATTAGTATAGATGTACTTTTGGTGTATTTTGGATACTTTTTTGATCATCGTAGAAATTACTAATTATTCAAATTTTCAACATGAACCCACGATACTATACTACTGCCCCATACAAAATATAGCTCAAATTAAAAAGTTTAATAGCCTAAAATATACTCTTTTAATACATTTCTCCTTTCACACATCCTCATAGAATACTGCTAACTGCTGTTATACACATTCACCACTTTGCCTTCTCAAGCCCCATAAGAACATTATCGGCGCTTGTATTAAATACGGTATTTCGCTTAATTTCTCTCATATTAATACAAATTGCTGTGTATCCAGTGCCGGATTCAACCTAACTCGCCCCTGAGCATAATAAAAAATGCCGCCCAATTATAGAAAATTTGCATAAAATAGGTTATGTTTCGATAGTTCTTTTTTTAATTATAATAATTTTTTTTTTAAAATTCAAAAAAAAATATATAAATGATTTCAATTTTTCGAAAAATATACTAGTTTTTTTTATTATTAATTTATGGATAATAAAAAAAATGCATTTTCTACAACGCGAAGAGACAAAATATAGCTTAAATTAAAAAAAGTTATCCATTAATTCAATACCTTTTTTCCTCTCAACATCACTCTCTCGACACAACCTCATAGAATGCTGCCCATAACCAATCTGCCCTCTCAAGCCCCATAAGAACACATCATCTGGGTTAGTATTGATGGCAGCATCTCGTTTAGTTTGTAAACACTTGTCGCGGGGCTCGACCGTCTGACTGTGTGTCTCTGACCGGAGATGGCTGTAGTGTGTTTGTGTTGAATGTGTGCGACAATTTACTATTGTTGCCTGGAAATATTAATAATGGCTTTTATTTCCTTAATAAAAAAAATTTAGAAATGATTTAACAATTATTTGATTTGACTAATTGAATATTTTTATGTAACCAAAAACTAAATTCTTAAGTTTTACATATAAGTATACTCTTACAATGCAGTTTTTGTATTTTTTCTCAAAAAAAAAAGATATTTTCCCGCAGTAAAAAGTATCCTATATGTTGACCCGGATAACCAGCTATCATTACACCAAATATCATTAAAATCCCTCCATTGGTTTTTCCGTGATGCGGTAACAGACAGACAGACAAAAATGCCTAAAAACTATAGATTCGGCCTCTATCGATAATAATGTCTATTGCAATAAGATTTTCCACAAATTATTTAATGTACAGATTCGGCTTAGTTACAATTTTATTATATGTATGGATTATAATTAATTTAATAGTTATCTAGATAATTAGAATGAAATATATCAAGTTCTATTATAAAGACATTAAAAAAAATCCTGAAAAATAAATGTTGCCACTCGCCTGGAAATTTTAAATTTAATTGGAATTTGAGAGACATCATTAAGGCGTATGCACACTATGTTTTATTTACGCGTTGACGACTTGCGTATCATGAATGCGTATACTTTACGTTCTTATATGCGGCTTTATAAAGGCGTTATAGGTACACTATGTTTCGTAAACTTTTTAGCTTTGCATATTCTATCCCTTAAGAGTTGGAAAATGGGGATAAAAGTTTGTATGGGGAAGCAACCTATGGACGAACCCGAGCGAAGTGAGGATGAGTCGCTAGTTTCATATAAATTAAAAATTCCACCCCAAATTATTTCATAATTATCTTTCACTGACATTAAACTCTCTTTTTTAGTTAAAAAGTTTAGTATCTTATATGTACTTGTATATACGAGTAAGTAGGCATAATAAAGGAACTTACCCATTGACAAGCGCGTCTCTTCCACTCCCACATATCCCACGTGTAGTTTTTCTCTATATATCCATCTATAGGATGTGTTTCTGTCTGTACGTCTTTGTCTGCTATTTTAGCTGTAAACATGGATAAAATATTCAGTTCTATTTTTTACTAATGGAGTAAAAAATTTGGTATTATACTCTCATGAAGTTAATTATAATAATAACTAGCGATATATCTTCACTTTGCTCGGGGGCGTCCTTATGTGCCTGACTATACTTTTGGATAGAAAAGTTTGAAAGAGTGTCTACTCAAAAGCATTTCGTCTAAAAAGTCTAACTCACTTTTAGGTACAAGTTTGGTGACGAGATTTTCCACATTGCTAACTTTATCCACATCTTCTAGAATGTTCAGTAGATTGATCACGTGCGGGTTGTTCCTTGCGAATTCTAACACTTCGTTGATATACCTTAATGGAATAATAAAATAATTTTCATAGTACATATCACTTCATATTTTTGCTATTAATTTGTCTAACTATCGTAATAATTTAAACTGTAATTAACTTATTGTTTGAATGCTGTTGTTAGTTCCAAAAACACTCACTACGTACACAACGTAGCAAAATGAACTCCATTTATACATACTCATATAATACAATTCTGAGTCGAATCTGTACATGAAATATTTTTGGGAAAATCTTATCGTAATAGTAATTATTATCCATACTCTGTGTCTGCCCGGGGAAGCATCACGAGAAAACCACTGGACAGATTTTGATGAAATTCGGTATGATGATAGTTGATTATCCGGATCGACATATAGGATACTTTTTACTGCAAGAAAATCTACAACAAATGTTACTAGGGACGTAACTAGAACTAGGTATGTAGTATGTACGAGTATGTGAGGGTGATTCGCTAGTTTATAATATAATTACATTACATTTACACATTTACAACATAATTACCTAAATAATAAACTTAAAACTTATAAACTTAATTACAATACAATTGATATTACCTCTGTGGGTCTTTACTGAATCTCGACGCCATTTTCACATTACAAAACCCATAACGTTGTCCTTTAGATTTTATTAGACCGATTTTCATATTGCTCGGCACTAGTGCCCCTACGCTTAGACATAGCGCACAAAAACCTAAAAACTGAAAAGACAAGGCAGTAATTAGTAAATAAAAAAAATACATTATAAAAAAAACAGACTGCATTAAAGCTAACTAAAAAGATGAAAACAAAATCACGAAGAAATACATGTTATGCAGTTGGAGACAAACAAATTACACAGTTATGTACCTACATCTCGCGGTGAAAGAAATTACAGTTGGCATCAATTTGCGCTTATTATAAACTATAACATTTAAAAAATCAAATAAAAATGTATCTTTAAGTTTTTTAAGAGAACAAATTAAAAATTTAAAAATAATGCCCTCAGAGCTTGCTTCTATTATTTTCGATTATTAGATATCTCCAGCTTCTGACTCTGTCCCTTAAATTAATATTAACAACAGCAAATTAAGGGCATAGAGCACACGACCACTTTTTAACGCGTTAAACAACAACAACATCGCCCTATCACATGTCGGTATAGATTCATTTTCCCGCCAATACACTAAAGTACTTGACGCCATTTTTAAATTGGACTAGAAAGAAACTGAACTGACTCACCGAGGGTTCAATAGCAAAAAAATACCGTTAAAATAAAATGGAATTGTTGTAATGTTTTAGTTTAGTATATGATGCACATAAATAATTGTTTTATTAAAAGAAAATAAAATATTCTTCATATATCGTAAATAAAATTTATTTCATTTCTAACTTATGCCGGCCAAAAACTACTCAACGTACGTTCTTCAAATAAAATGGCTGTTATATCTGGACAGAAGGACGGATATAAAGAAATTAAATGGATTACATTATTTAAGCTACGAAACCCTAAAAAATGTAACAATATGTATGTATGTATGTATGTATTTTAATTAATATGTATGTATTTTCAAACTTTTACCTGTACATGTCGCTCTTTCACCCCAAAACTGTCCGTGGAGGCTACATAATTTCTCAAAGACCCCAAAGATAGTCTCTCCGATATACTGATATTACTGTTCATCCTATCCTGGTCTGTTACTACATGTTTTCCATCTAACATCCTATCTATTATCGCATAGGGCATTTTCTGATTTTGTATTGTAGCGAGAGTTGACATTATTTTGTTGACAGTTGACATTAAAAACATAACGTTCTGCATTGACCGCCATATTCGCCATAGCTTTGTGAATAGCGGCTGTAATTTAAATGTTTTGACCGATTTCATAAAAAGAGGAAGATTCAATAATGTTGATTTTTTTTATATGTATGTTATATATAATGTATACAGCTGCGCTGCATCCGTGGTCTAGTGGCTAGTATATACGACTGCAGATCCGGAGGTCCCGGGTTCGAGTCCCGGGTCGGGCCAAGTTAATTACTGAGTTTTTCTGTAAAATATTCTCAGTAGTAGCCTGAAGTTCTTATCGGACACCTGCGAAAGTTCATATGAGTGTGTAAGGATAAATTATTTGCTACTTTACGTTGAAACCGCGACAGATTTGAATGAGATTTTTTTTAAATAATAGCCTACACCTAAATCTACCTAACGTGTGGTCCAATATTCACAAAAAAAATTAAAACTTATACATCTCATTAAAACAAAAGTAAATTAATGCAATTCTTTTGTACAGTGGCTCCTAGGAAGGCCATTTGGACTAAATGGTGCCCGATTCGCCGATGTTGCGTAAAATGGAGAAGACTTGTATATATATTTATAGAACTAGCGACTTACTCTCTCTTCGCTCGGGTTCGTCTCTCGTTACTTTTAACGTTTTAAGGCTTAGTATAGATTTCTCAAAGATGAGATATTTTCCGGCAGTAAAAAGTATCCTATATGTTGACCCGGCTAACCAGCTATCATCGTACCAAATTTCAGTAAAATCTGTCCAGTAGTTTTCTCGTGATGCGTTCTCAGACAGACAGGCAAACACACAAAAATTCTAAAAACATAACATATAGATTAGGCCCCTGTATCGATAATATTGAATATTTCAATTAGATTTTCAAAAAAATATTTAATGTACAGATACGACTCAGAATTTTACAACATATATGATGTATAGATGACCGGTTAAAAAGAGAAAAAACACTAGATATGATTAAATGTAATAAATTAATTATAAGCTAAAACTCACAAATACAGTGACAACGGGCACAGCGGCCTTATATTTAACAGCTGCATGTAACTCCTCTAAGGCCACCTTCACACTGTCAACAAACTGAGCTCCGCTCTGTGCCATACTCTCTACGTCTGATAGTAATTTTCTGATGTACAACTCATATTGACGATTAAAAGCCAATAGCTCGAATATTTGCTTGTAATCGTTTCTGTCAAAATGTAAATATGAATTAAAAATGCTTGTAAAGTAACTTTTAGTAATGTATATTTAAAAAATTGTGCACAACAACGTTTTGGTTGAATTTTTGATTACCACTTGTCGTGAGGAAATCTGCATGTCTGAGAGAAATAGCAAGTTTTCGAAAGACGTAAAGTCCGCCCACACTTAAGGCTAGCGTGGTGGATTATGCACAGCAGTGGAACGTTAAAAATGGGCTGGATACACACTATTTGTAACATACTTACTCAGTTAACTCAGATTGAGGTGGTATATCTATAATGACGTTTCCAGTCTCATCCTGTATGGCGATAGTGTCGGCCACTGCCGAAGTTAGCGAGTTGACTCTCTGCATGACCGCTATTAGCGAGTTAGAGAGAGATGCCAGACATGCTTTGCCAGCATCCACGATATTAAATGGCACTGTATTAATATTTTATCAGTAAAAGACTAAGGACTGATTAAGGGCCTATACACACTACGTTCTATAAGCCCCCGACCGATGATGATCATATGTCTTCTGTGTAAATTCTGGGTTAAAAATAAATAGCAAATTATGTATTCGTATCGATGCAAACGCGCAACAAACGTGATTCAACATTATGTCAAAAAGTAGTCGTGTGTGTAGGCCCTTACATGTAGTATGTTATTTATTTATCTATAGTCAATATACTAATATTATAAAGAAGGAAAGCTGTAAGTTTATATGTAAGGGATAATCTCTAAAATTATCTATCCGATTTATTGAAGTCGGAAATATATAGCCATTGACGTAATAAATTGAAATATATAATATATATGTAGGTAAGTACTATTGCTTAGCAATAGCAAATAAAGCGGCTCTAAGGAATCGAGCGAAACGAGGGCAAATCACGATGAGACGCTAAAATACCATTAAAATTTGAAAATACTTTTTAATTTTTAATTAAAGTACCAACTTACGATCTGGTATTCCTTCTCCTCCCTTCTTACAATCTCGATTAAATAACCTGACACCAGATGTTATTTGCATTAACTCATTCAATTGGATGATTTTTTCTGATCTCGGCAAAGCCACGAACACTTTAAGATCTTCTAAAGAGAAGACGCTTTCTAACGCCGCCATACCTTCTTTTAAAGTCTAAAAAATAAAAAAAACCCGAATACGTATAAAAACTTACTAAAAAGATGAAAACAAGTCGACGAAGGAATATAGTATTAGGATCGGACATATGTACCTACATACATGATACATCCATACAAACATACATATAGGTCAAACACATGACCCACCGTTAGGCTTCGCCGCAGTCGAGTAAATAGAAGTCGAGCGACGTCTTATAAAATATTAGATTCTAACCTGATAGATCATATCATCTAAGTGAATGTTTACCTAGCTTTTAGAATACTCGTTAATAGAAAAGGTTCTCACGCGATTTACGAGTAAATATTTAACGAAAATCTTTCATTGAGTGAATATCCATATATAATATAATATAAGTGTGAAAGTGTGCGTGTTTGTTTGTTTGTCGTTCTTTCACGTCGAAACAGAGTCACGGATTTCAAGACTGTTACATATTAGTATAATCTTACAATGCATTTTTTTTAATTTTTTCTCAAAAGTGACACTTTCCCGCAGTAGAAAGTATCCTATATGTTGACCCGGATAACCAGCAATCTCCATACCAAATTTCAACAAAATCCCTCCAGTGGTTTTTCTTTGATGCGGTAACAAACACACAGACACGCAGACAAAAATTCTAAAACCTATAGATTCGGCCTTTGTATCGATAATAATGTTTATTTCAATAAGATTTTCCAAAACATAGGTATCTAATGTACAGATTCGGCTTAGTTACAATTTTATTATATCTATTCCATACTAATCGTTAAAACCTACCTAGGGACGAACGCGAGCGAAGCGTGGGTGAGTCGCTAGTATTTTATAAATTTAAGCAAAAATATGAAAATGAAATATTAAGTAAATACATACTACAATAGAACTAGGGTTTCCAAGACCACTAGATAAAATAATATAAATAGATATCTTCCTAAACAGCTTTTTGAAGGCAGCATCGTCGTCTAAGTCTGGATCCTCTTCCAGTATTTCGTTTATAAGGGGCCTTAAACACTGATCTATAGAGTCTAAATGCTTGTCTATGAGATTTTGTAATTTATCGTAGTTCGTTTGCATAACAAATTGCATTTTTAGGGTGTTCATTGATGTTTCGCCGTCTGGAAATTTTTTAAAATTAATCTCTTATCCATCCATACCTTGTCCCTATATAAGTTTTAACGTTATAGATATATTTGTGCAATAAAGAATATATATATATATATATATATATATATATATATATATATATATATATATATATATATATATATATATATATATAGGTGATAGAGAATATAACTCGAACAAAATTTAACGCGTCATGAAAATTTAATATTTTAGTTACAAATACGTTGAAGATAAAATGGTGTGACGACGGCTGTATACATTTTTGAATTCCTACGTCTGTAACATTCTCCGCAACGCTGATGAAAAGTATCGTTTGAAAATCTGTAATTAATTTAAAATTAATCTATAATTAAGCTGTGTTTCATAATGTTCTGTATTTTGATGACATTTTTGAATCATGAATAAAAATACCGAATTAGATCTCAAATACGTCACTCACAGCATTTTTTATTATCGTTCAATAAATCTATAGAGAAAAAATCCATCAAACGTCAATCTTAAGTCCTTAACTTTCAAATTTCGAAGCTTTACTAGTTTTCAATAATAGATACTTAATAATAATTCATGGGCCTGAAAGTAAAACCCCTTTAATGCAGTACATAAAGCGGACTGTAAATCGAACCCACGACCTTCGACGTGTTCACTAATTGTAATATAAAAACTCACCTGTAAGCATGTTGACGCAATCATTTACAAAAAAATCTAAATTATTTCTGTTTATCGTCTTTGAAAATAATCTCCCATACTTTGGGTTGAGTAGAAGCAAATCTATCAGATAAACCACAAAATCAGTATCCACTGTGACGTTTTTACTTTGGCAGTTCCTAGTTATTTCATTTGCCATATTTTTAATAACGTTCTCATTACACGCCATTTTATTGTAGAATTTTAGATAAATATTATATTAACAAAACTTATAAAATGCGAGTAAAAATATTTCAAAACGAGCTTTATCAATGTTACTATAGTAACGGCTTTTGCCGCTATTATCCGGGTACAGATTATGTAAGTTTATATAAATAAATTATGTACCTGCAACGATTTAAATTTTGCTATAGTTCGTTACTTTATAATTTAACTTTTAAAACGAATTTATTAAAAAGAACTCAAGCTGCATTTCCATCATTTTTAATGAAAATTATTTAAAACTCAATAAATTATAAAATGAAAAAGTTTAACCAAAATACCAATGATTATATTTTAGTTTATAATTATGGTATTTTTCTTCTTCTTCCTCGTTCCCTCACTGATGAGGATCGTGACCACTTATGCTTTTTCCAGTCAGTTCGGTTCAACGATGCCTGGAATGCGGCATGGAGAGTAGCGCCCACTGCCTTCTTTATCGCGTCCGACCACCTTATAGGTGCCCTCCCCCGTGCGTGTTAATAATAAGTTTCTCTAGATATTGCTTGGATGATCGTATATGTCCAAAAAAACTTAGGGCTCTTTTTTGACAGACAGTGGAGAGCCGCTCTGTGATCTTAAGTTCGGCCGAACTTAATTACGGTATAAACAAAGAAATATTAGACAATTCGACTCTACTCATTCCTTGTCGCGAACCTAGGTCATATTTTTTTTGAGAAAACTACTTTAAGCATTATTATTGTGACAGTTTTAAGAGAACTTTTGCATGGGAATATGTATCTTGCATTTTTTTTATCGATATCAAAATAGAATAAAAGATGCACTAGATTTGAAAGTCTTTTATTATCCTATAATAAATCCCTCTGGGACGCATACAACCTTTAATCTAGCGCACTAGATTCACAAACTTATGATTACAGTAGACTACACTACAGACTTTATTAAATCAATACAAAAAATAGTTGAAATTAATAAAAAAATAATATATTTTTTGATTTTCATGTCAAATTTAATCATATTCGATACTTATATTTCACAATTATACAATAAATAACTACTTTTCTAAACAACTAGCGACCACCCATCATAAAGCAGCTGCAGTGAAAATCCTTAACCATAGATGTTTAGAAAAGTAGTTATTTAATATTTTACGTTAATTCAAACAAAATGCAATAATCAAAGTTACATTATACTCATTATATGTTAAATTAGTTATTAGTTTAGATAACAATTGCACTCTTGTTATCAAAATGGTTGACATTTTACATTACAGTAAATGTTATATAAGAACAATCCCTGCATGTATTCAACCCTTTTTAACGTCCCACTGCTGGGGGTGGGCCTGTCTTCAATACGAGGAGGATCAGGCCATAGGCCACCACGCTGGCCAAGTGCGAGCGGATTTCACATGTCTTACGAAAACTTGCTAGTTTCTCTGTCATGCAGGTTTCCTCACAATGTTTTACTTCACCATAAGACAAGTGGTAATCATATTGGAAATGATCCCTGAATGCTGAGACTGATAGAAACTCCCTATAATTATATATAATAAAATATAGTTATCTAAACTAATATCTTTCGATAATGAACATACAAAACTTATGTAGGAGAAAGCCGAATGAAGTCCGAGATCCACAATACAGTAAATAACCTAAATGTCACTTATCATTAAACTTAACCTAAAATTGTATATTTTATATTTACTTATTTTTTTCCACTTTATATGTAAGAATTATACATTCGTTATGCAAAAAGCATAGAACACGTACACCACAGACTAAAAAAATAAAAATAATACAAATTATATCATCCTACTAAAGTAAGAACACAATTTATTTCTTTTACAACAAAACTCTTAGTCCTAAATTTAAACCAAACAAACATACATACAAAGTGGAAATTAGTTAATTATATATGTAAATTTAATTAATCAAGAAAATGTGTTTTCAAGTATTTCATCATACCAAATGTACGGAATCGTTTGGTACCAATAACTTTGTATAAGGCATCATTGCAGATGGCAAACTGTTTGTTATTTGGATCGTATAGATTCTTCTCTTTGATGATGCTCCACACCCGCTTGACCACTTCATGTCTTGGCATTTCCTCTTCACCCATCAACTCGGCAAGAGCTGGTGATAGTTTGTACGCTCTTGTGTAGCCACCGCCTTTGCCGCGACCACCCGCCTGAAACACATAATATATAATTAAGCCTCATTTACATTTAGAACATAGAAAGTTATTTGAAATGAAAATATTTTTGATATTAAAACTGATACAAGGATAAACCTTTACATATCAATCAAAAAAGTACTAGATACACAACCAGCGACAAAAAACGTTCACACTGAATGAGCGCTCATTTGAACATTTGAGTGTGCTTTTAGTTTTTTTTGCAAAAACAACTTTATGCATTGCATTTAAGTTCAATTTACGTTGTTGTATATTTATTTCAACTAGAATAATTACCTAAACACAATCGGTGTCAGTTTTAAGAGAACTTTTATATAGGATTGTGCATATAGTACTGAATTGCCATTAAGAATATTAGGGATATTTTATAGGATTCATAATAAATGTATCATATCAACTTCTAAATAATAAATACCTTCTTATTAGCCTTGGCTTTGCCCCAATCACTGTCTGAATCGGAGCCCTTCTTCTTTTTGCCTTTTTTTGCTGCTGGCTTCTTTCTTTCCTCCTGTTAACAAATTAATTTACATTTTATTAATTTTTTAAATAAGCATACTTGAAATAAAACGCATGTGTGTACTTATGTAGGCACGTAAGAAGTTATACTTCTTTGGTGTAACAGAACAAAAAATAGCTAAAGATTTCATCCCATATGTTACAACTCAGTTTGTAAAAGGAATGCAACTAACTTCATCATGCCGCTTTTAGGCTGTCGGTGTGCGCGCGCATCGTGAAAATTTCACTCTAATGTTTTTTTCCAAATGTGCCAAAAGAAGTATAACTTTAAAAACAACAAAAGAATTGGAAATTTTATACACTAAGTTAATCTAACAATACTTATTCAACTACCTCAGATTCACTATCATTGCTGGCATCGTCTTCTTCTTCATCAGAGCTCTCCTTTTTCGACTTCTTAGATGATGCTTTAGCTGCTGGCGCTGAACGTTTTGCGGGCTTTTTCTTTTCTTCTTCCTGGATAGCAAAGAAAACAAAGTGTCAACTTTGGAATAAATTGTCAGTTGTATGTGTTTTCAATAACAAATTAATAATAAAATTATTACAACTACAGCTTTTTTAGAAACCAGCGACTCATATTCACATCGCTCGCGTTCGTCCCTAGGTACATATTTTTTGAGCAGAACCCTAATTCATTTACTCAAATAAAAGTAGCCTAAGTTACTCCTTATAAAATCAACTACCTGCCACGCATTAAAATCGGCCCAGCCGTTTCGGAGATTCGCCGGAACAAACAGACAGACAAAAATTTTAAAAATTGTGTTTTTAGTATAAATTTGTTATTTTATACATTTAGTAAAAAGCTGTTAGTTTGACATTACAAACAGACACTTCAATTTTATTTATCTGTATAGATCACAAGACAAAAGTTAAGTGAATGAAGTTAATTGGATGAGTAATTTAATTTCTCCCTCCATTTATTTTTTTAACAACTTGGTTGCATCACCTAATTTATGTCTCTTGTATTACATTTACCACTTTAATAAACAATATCATTTTTAAGAACCCACCTCTTCCTCTTCATCATCATCTTCTTCTTCCTCATCAGAACCTTTGCTGTTCACAAAATCCATGACTAGCTGATCTATTATCTTCTTCTTCTCGCTTAAGTCAGTATCAAACACCTTCTCCAACTTCTGGACAACCTTTTTGGTCGAGGTTCGAGCCAAGTTTGCATTTTTGAGGATTTCTAAATGGATGAAGAATATTTTTAAATAACATATTTTTTTAAATATTCTGTACAATTTACTTTAGTTTGTTATATGTACGTTCACAAACAACTAAATCCAGACCATGTTATACAGTGTTATAAATTTTCAAGTATTAAACCTATACATATATAATAAAATTGTAACTAAGCCGAATCTGTACATTATAAATATTTTTAGGAAAATCTTATTGTAATAGATATTATTAGCAATATAGATGCGGAATCTATAGTTTTTAGAATTTTTATCTGTCTGTCTGTTACCGCATCACAGAAAAACCACTGGACTGATTTTAATGAAATTTTGTGTGGTCGTAGCTGGTTATACGGGTCAACATATAGGATACTTTTTACCGCGGGAAAATGTGTTATTTCTGAGAAAAAATGGACATACACGCAATTGCTTGGATCTTCTGCTGACAACAGAACCGGACAGGCACTCAATTTCGGTATCATCCCCTCTGGGATCGTCTGATCACAATCTGGTGAAGTCCGTATCGATCTTCTCTCCTCCGGTTGACTGCTCAGTGGGCACGAGGAGAGTATGGCGATACGAGACAGCGGACTGGGATGAGATGCGGCATTTTTTTGCATCTTTCCCGTGGCAGCAAGCGTGCTTTTCTTCGACCGACCTCTCGTGCTCAGCTGATGCGGTTGTCGATATGATACGGCAGGGAATGGAATACTTCATTCCGTTCTCCGACATCCCGCTGGGCCACAAAGCCAAGCCCTGGTATAATGCGGACTGTGCTCGTGCTGAGGCGCGAAAAGAGGCCGCCTACCGGTCCTGGGTTTTGGCTCGTGATCGCAAAGTCAGAGCTCGGAGGGTTCGTGCGAAGAAAAGAGCTTATAATGTTGCTACCAAGTCTTGCAATAGGGTTCTCCGTAGGGCACGTTTTGACCATGTCAGTCGTATAGGAGCCAGACTTGCTTCCTACCCTCCTGGTAGTAAGCAATTCTGGTCCCTGTCCAAGGCTGTCGAGTCCAATTTCTGCCGTCCCTCTTTACCTCCCTTGCAGAAACCAGATGGGTCACTGGCTCACTCCGCGGTAGAGAAAGCAAATTTACTTGCAACTCTGTTCGCGAGCAATTCGCGTCTAGATGCTGGATCCAAACATCCACCAACTCTTCCACACTGTGATTCTACGATGCCCAAGATTGCAATTCACACGAAAGAGGTCCGTAGAATACTGCAAAATCTTGACGTGAATAAGGCCAGTGGACCTGACGGTATACCTGCAAGAGTCCTAAGGAATTGTGCGCCGGAGTTGTCTCCTGTGCTGACTCGCTTGTATCGCCTCTCTCTCCAAACTAGCACAGTGCCCAATTCTTGGAAGCTTGCCAATGTTCAGCCAGTACCAAAGAAGGGTAGTCGTGCCGATCCCTACAACTATCGACCAATCGCCATTACCTCCATACTCTGTAAAGTTATGGAAAGGGTACTTAACAGAAAGCTGATGTCATACCTTGAAGCTAATGATCTCCTTAGCGACCATCAATATGGCTTCCGCAGGGGACGGTCTACAGGGGACCTTCTTGTGTATGTCACACAGTACTGGGGTGAGGCCATCGAAAACCGTGGTGAAGCTCTAGCAGTTTCACTCGATATCTCGAAGGCGTTTGATAGGGTTTGGCACGCAAGTCTACTGAGCAAGCTTCCTGCTTACGGCATCCCTTCCGACTTCTGCGACTGGGTATCAGATTTCCTAACCGAACGGTCGATTAGAGTCGTCGTTGACGGCTGCTCCTCCGATCTAATGGCTATTGATGCCGGAGTTCCACAGGGGTCTGTTCTCTCTGCGACTCTTTTCCTGCTACACATCAATGACCTACTTTCAACAGGTATTGTTGCATATGCAGATGACAGCACAGTTATAGAGAGCTATGTGCCCGGTGCAAGGGACGGAGGGGTATTAATAAGTACTTTGAGAGAGGCCATGGTAGAGCGTACAAATGCGACCTTAAGTCTTGTCTCACAATGGGGTGATGACAATCTGGTCGACTTTAACGCTGCCAAAACGCAAGCCTGTCTATTTTCCGCAAAAAGGAGTCCGTTCAGCTTGACTCCTACTTTTCGTGGTACACCTGTAGAGATTTCCGACAGTCTAGAGCTTCTCGGCATAAGGTTAAGTGCAAATCTTAACTTTGGCGAAAACATCGAGTCGAAGGCACAGACTGCGGCCAAGAAACTGGGCATCCTTAACAAGGTTAAGCGATACTTCACGCCTGGACAGCTTCTCACATTATATAAAGCTCAAGTCCGATCATGCATGGAGTATTGCAGTCACCTTTGGGATGGCTCTGCAAAATACCAACTAGCCGCTCTTGACTCGGTGGAACGCAGAGCTAAAAAGTTAATCGGCGACGAAAAGCTTGTGAAAACTAAGCTTCACAGCTTAGCACACCGTCGCCAAGTTGCTTGTCTGTCGGTTTTCTACAGACTGTACTTCGGGGAGTGTGCCCACGAGCTCCACAGTCTCATACCGCCATCGCCATTCTTCTATCGGAACAGCAGACGTACTGCAGGATACCATCCTTTCTTGGTTGACATTCCGACCACTCGCACTAAGCGCTATTCGTCATCTTTTATAATTCGCACAGCCAAGATGTGGAATGCGCTGCCTGCGTCTGTTTTTCCGAGTGCGTATAACCTGAACCTATTTAAGGTGCGTGTTAACAGGCTTCTCCTGGGCAAACTCGCTAGATCGTAGACCTTATCTGTGCCTTCGAGCTAAGATAAAGGTCAAGAGTGAGCCCATTTCTAATAAAAAAAAATATACAAAAACTGCATTGTAAGAGTATATTAATATGTAAAACCTAAGAATTTGCTTTTTGGTCACGTTGAGCGGAGCCGCGGGCATGGTAGCGTACTTATAATAATAATTAGAGTTCATACCTTGTAGGTTTGTCATATTTACCTATTACATATTCATATCGTAAAGCATTGTCGGCTTGCACCGACTTCGGTTCGACAGTCAAACATTGGAACAAAAAGTCGGTGCCAGTTTCAAAGTTAATATGACAATCAGAAATAGGTTAAATTTTCTCTAGCTATTTTTCCACCCTTAGGAATGGTATTTTTTTTTTCAAATTTAAATGGTACTAAACTGGAAGTACATACATACTCTCAAACAAAAAGAATTTTCCAAATCAGTTAATAAATTACGGAATTCCGAGGTAACAACGTTGAAAAAAATACAGCTAAATTGAGAATCTCCTCTTTTTTTGAAGTCGGTTGAAAATGGCAGTTCTATTTATAAATATTTAACAATCTCTAAACCCAATTTCAACGATATCATAAATGCAAGATAATATTATGTTACATTTAATAGGTACATTTCCCGCCATAATTGTTCCCTTCTTCCAATATGCTTTTATTAAAATTTGATTTTCTGCCGATCGCCATTTTAATGAAAACTAACAAGTATCGAAATGTAATAAAGTAGAACACTTTAACAATAATAAGAATGTAAAACGAAATAAAGTTGAATCGTAAGTAATAAAACTTGGTGAAAAGGAGTTTGCGTCACGGTCGTTTATTTGTATGGCGTTTCTGAACGAGGCCGCGCAACATGGCGTCCTATAATAAATTGACAAAACATTTACAAAATATTTAAGAATTATCAATACAAGCCAAAACAAATAAAACGTTTCAGATAAAAGATGTTTTGATTGAAGATGCGCGTCATTTCTTCATTTTAATCATAATTTAAAGCCAGCCATTTTAGCGTGCTATACGTGGAGCGTCGATGTTAGAAGTTACGCGTTGCATAAAAATAAACCACCAGTGGGCAGACCTAAATAGGACGCTTAAAATGTAAGCTTATATCCCACATGAATCGCACAACGATACCAAACAACTTTCACTTGAAACATTTTCATAAGAATCTTCTACTATCAGAGATATTTCAATTAAAAGACATGATTAACCAAAGTTGTATTGAATTTATAGGTAGCCATTACATGACCCCCGGACAGATAGGCTTCGGGGAATTTATTTTAGTATTTCGCACAAATAACCTATAATCAAACGTAAAAAAATGTGTAATGTTTTTAATAAAATAAGTTTCTTACTTCCAATTTCCTTTTCAAGATCTTCTTTACTAACATCTGCCATTTTCTTAGGACAAGTAGATTCCGCCACCGACACAAGGAAGCACAGCCACACAATAATATACCTACGCGCTAGATGCTACACGGCGTCCAAACGAAAGTTGCCGAACGATGCTTCGGTCATGATCGGATGGGTAGACGCGAAGTAAATGAGGTAACAACGCGTTCACGCCTCCATTTATTACTTTATCCCGCTTATATTGTTATATTATTTTATTCTTTTTAAATATGATTTCCCACAAAAAAGTATTATAAATAATGTAAATGCTTTGTCGTATAAGCTATGTATATTTTGTTCGTATTTTAAGTACAATAATAATTTAAAAGGTGCAAAATTTTTAAAACATGCTTTTGTAATTGGAACGCAACCTATAGTATCCACAAAATGCCATTTGACATGATTGTCAAATGTCAGTTGTCAAAGCCATGTGTGTACAATATTTGTTGACGAACGGTTAACCTCGAATTATTTATAATCTTTAATTAAAAGTTTATTAAAAAGTGTACGTTGACGATGGCTAAAGTTAAAAATAAAAGAAACGCTAATATGGCTGATAGAGTTCACAATAAGAAGAAAGCTGATGCAAATAAAAAGAAATTGAATCCATTCGAAGTTCATATTAACAGAGAGAAGCTGAAAGTTTTAGGAAAGAAATCTAAACATGATCGGGGATTACCGGGTGTATCGCGGGCTAAAGCAATTCAGAAGGTACATAAAATATAATATTGCTACGTTCATGAATAAAAATCCAAGACAACGTAAACATTTTTAGATTATAAGTAAACGTGATTACTGACATTGTTAATCTCATAACAGGCTATAATGTATATAACAACGAAACTACTCATAATGATATATATATTTTTTAATTTTAGAGAAAAGAAACCTTGGGAACTGAAATGAAGCTCATAAACAAAACTAATACTTTTATTGATAGACGCATTGGTGAGAAGAATAATCAGTTATCTGCTGAAGATCGTATGATAGCCAGATTCGCAGCTGAAAGAGCTAAACAACATAGCAAAAAGAATATATATAATCTGGCTGATGATGAGATTTTGACACACAGGTATATTTTATTGTTATTTATTACATGTAGGATTAGTAAGAAGAAAAACAATATAATATGAGGTTATCCTATTAATAAAAGATATTCTAAAAAAATTTAAATAACTTTATTTATTATTATTTTTATAGAGGTCAAACTTTGGAACAAATAGAGAAATTCGATGATCCAAGGTCTTCTGATGATGAGGATGAGGAAAAAAGATTTGGTGGATTGGGTGGTAAGTTGAAAGAAAACTTTTATTCAGATAATATTAAGTTTTCCATTATGTACCATATTGCACAACAAGAAATGTATTATTTAGCATATATTTATTATCTTGCCATTATTTTTTAGGGGAGTTTGTATCTGAGGGTCACTTTGGTGGTGGCATGTTATCAAAAACAGAGTCAAAAGATGGAGCTAAATCCCACAAGGATTTAATAGAACAGCTCATAGCCGAGTCCAAAATACGGAAGGCTGAGAAACAAAAGGAAAAAGAGCAAACTTTAGATTTAACGGAAAAGTTGGATAGTGAATGGAAAGATTTACAACCTGTAGTGTTCAAGCAGCAAAAACAAGAAGAGTCTATAATAGATAAGTTATTAAGTAAAGCAGAAAAGGGACTTGATTATGACAGAATGATGAGGGAGCTGCGATTTGAGAAACGAGGAACAGTGAGTTTGTAATGTTTTAGTTTAATTTTGTTTTAATACTAATTAACTGGTATAATATTCTAATTTTTTTATACAAACACTTAAACTTTTTTTTTACAAACACATAAATTTACTAAAGGAGTTTATTTATACTTTCAGCCATCTGATGGTTTAAAAAGTAAAGAAAAGCAAGATGAAGAAGAAAGAAAGAAATTAGGAGAATTAGAAAAACAAAGGGAACTAAGAATGTTACCTGAAGAAGAAGTTGTTGCATCCAGAAATACTAAGCCAGCCAATAAACACAGGTTGATGTTGATACTGTTTTACAAACAAAAATTTGTGATATGATTATTAATTATAGAAAACATTTATCTTACTTAATATTATAAATGTGAAAGTTTAGATGTTCGGATTGATATTTGTTACTCAATCACACCAGAACAGCTGAACGGATCTGCATGAAATTTGGCACAGAGATAGATTATAGGCTGGAATAGCACATAGGATACTTTTTATCCTGGAAAAAATGTATGGTTCCTGTGGGATGGATTTGTTTTTATTTCTTGTATTTTCATCATAATCATTTGTATTCATCATTAATCCTTATTTAATGAAAATATTTTTTTTCCCATTTTATTAAATTACTAGCGGCTCACCCTCGCTTCGCTCGGGTTCGTCGCTAGGTACGTTTTAAATAGATATAAAAAGAAAAAATCTTTCTTTCTCACATTTTAATTATATGTTTTAATACTTACCTATTCCGGACTAAGAGAAATCCAAAAATTAAAATATCATAAAAATTGGAACGCGGTCGAACGGGATAAAAAGTATCCTATGTCCTTCTCCTGGCTCTAAACTACCTCCCTGCCAATTTTCAGCTAAATCGGTTCAGCCGTTCTTGAGTTATAAGCGAAGTAACTAACACGACTTTCTTTTATATATATAGATTACATTTTTTAGATCTGCAGATGATTTAGATGACAATTTTGAATTGGAGGATGAAAAGGAATTCATGTTGGCCTATGATAATGAGGGAAAACCATTAGTTCCAGAACATGTATTGAAAGATTACTCAGGTATCATTAAAATAGTTTTTTTTATTTATCATGTTAGTGATTTCTTGGATTTTTGGTTTTAACAACTTTCTTACTGTTGAGATACTGCAGTGGCGGAGTTTATTAAAAGTGTATTTCAGTTTACTAAAAAGCCCTTATGATTATAAGTCTGAACAATATATCAAAATTTGAGAAGAATTATGTAACATTAAAGGGAAATTGTATAAATAAACATATGTAAATAAATACATAATATTTTACATCAATTTTATAATATATGCTACTATACATAAAATTTTATTTTAGTTCCAAATGCTAAAAAGAAGTTTGAAGATGGTATCTCAGATACATCTGAATCTGAAGAAGATGCAGATAGTGAAAATGAATCTGACAAAGAAAGTGGTGAAGAAGACAATATTGGTGAAGTTTTAGATGCAAATCTGTCTAAAGAAAAAAACATTAAAAAAGGAAACATTAGTGAAAGTTCTGACGAAGATGAATCAACGGATGATGAGAAATCTGAAGACAATAATCAGAGAATAGAAGAGAAAATTCAGTTCAAGGAAAAAAATAATCTTGAAAATGATAAAGATAAAAGCTTAAAAAGGAAAAAAGAGGCAGATTCTAATGAAGTTAGTAACAAAGAAGATACAGAAGAGAAAAAGAAAGCAAAATTACAAAATGAAAAGAAGGAAGAATTGAGTAAAAGTAACTTGAAAAAAGATTCCAGTAATAAAATAACTCATAAAATTGTCACCAAAGAAAAATCTGATGAAGGGAGAAATTCTGATGAAGAAGAAAAATCTGAAGAAGAAAATTCTGATGAACAAGAAGAATCTGATGATAATGAGGATGAAGAAAGTGAAGAAAAAAAAGATGAATTTAAAGATCTGATAGAATCTGAAGGATCAGATAGTGAAATTGAAGATAATAGCAAAAGGATTAGTTCTTTCTTTGATTTAAAATCGAGTGAATGTGATAATTTAAAGGTATGAATTTATTACTGTATTCATATTCTTAATCTATATAGATAAATAAAATAGTGTCTGTTTGTAATATCAAAATAACAGCTTTTTACTAAATGCATATGAATAATACTTACAACAAAAGTCAAAAACACAATTTTTTAAATTTTTGTGTCTGTCTGTTTGTTCCGGTTAATCTCCGAAACGGCTGGACCGATTTTGACGGGAGTTTCACTGACAGGTATCTGATGTTATAATAAGTAACTTAGGCTACTTTTATTTTAGAAAAACAATTACGGTTCTGCTAAAAAAACGTATCTAGGGACGCACCCGATCGAAGCGAGGTTAAGTCGTTAGTTATTATAGAAATGTGAAATAATGTTATTTGGAAACACTATGTGTAATTTTATATTTGTTTTTTTTTTACCTATATTTCATTTTATTCATTTCTTTTAGGAACTACTAACGGGAAAGTCCCCTTCACAACAGGCTGCAGCACTACAAAAACTAATTAAAAGTTATGATCCGGGTCTTTCTGAAAATAACAAAGAATTATTAAGTAGATTATACGCACATTTACTTCAGTATATTCACGATATATTCTCAAATTTAACAGATGAGGCTGATATAATAAAATCATTTTTAGTTTTCAACAAATTAGTACCATATTGCTATGATTTAGTACATTTAAATAAAGTGTCCACAAAAAAATTCATAGTTGAATTATTAAAAGAAAAACATGATAATTTCAAACGCAATTCTAAAAAAGTACCTGATCTGGATACGTTAATATTTTTTAAATTAATATCTATTTTATACCCGACATCTGACTTCCGGCATCCGGTAACGACGCCGTCTTTGTTTTTCATGACGGAAATACTAACTTTGTCACGTTTTCGAGATGCCTATTCGGTTTCTAGAGGATTATTTATAACTTCTTTAATTTTAGAATATACTTTCCTTTCAAAAAGATATGTACCGTCCGCGTTAAACTTTTTGAGGGGTATTTTTTATTTATGTGCTAATACTTCAATACTAAATCCCATACAAGTTGTCCCGCCATTCCGTATACATAAAGACGTCAAAATTTTGAATTTAGAAGGCGACTGTTCAAAGATGGCCGTCGATAATAAAATGAAGGCAAAGGATTTAGTTTTAACAGAAGTAAGCGACGATTTCAAAATACGCTGTCTATACACAGCAACAGAAATGTTAAAAGAATTTTTCGATAAATATGTCGAGTTAGAAGTATTAAAAGCCATTTTTGAGCCACATATACAATTATTAGGTAGGGTCGATTTAGATTTATATCCGAAAAATGTAGCGAAAAAAGTTACGGAGGTAATACAATATATGAAACAAACGTTAGAAGTAAAGACGTACACACAAATGTCAAGGGAAAAAGTCCGACCGAAAGCTTTGAGGCTGTACGAACCGGACATTCAAGATGTGTAAGTAAAATTAGATTTTATTACCTTAGTGAATAAGTTTAAGTTGTATTACGCAAAAAGTTTTAAGTGCTTGAGCGCTATTTTTTTTTTTGAATTTGATCTTAGAATTCAAAACACTGTAGATTTATGACTTTAAAACAAAAAATAAGTTTAATCATTTAACGTCATGTGTAGAGCTAAGTTTAATAACTAGCTAAAGCTAACTAATAGAATAAACTATGTACATAATATACTCTATAAAATACAATTCTTTACATTTTTTTATTAAAATGTAATGCATAAAATAGGTTATTGATTATTTATTACAGGGCTATGTATTTTTTCTAATTTAATCTTTACAAGGCTAAATTATAGTTTAAATTTGATTGAATTTGTTAGGGTTGTCACTACCTTCATGAGTGAAAATATGAGGTACTTTTGAGTTTTAACCGAACAGAAAATACATACACATTTCTAAAAAAAGGGATTTTCTTTCATTCAAAGTTTTGTTATTTTTACTATTTTTGTTTTTACAGCTTCACTGGCAGCAAGAGTTCCAAGTTATCTAGAGAGAGTGCAGAGAAGGCCAGGTTGCAAACCAAATATAAGAAGGAAATGAAAGGAGCACTCAGAGAGATCAGACGAGATAAGGCATACATAGGCTCTGTGAAGATACGGCAGAAGATACACAGGTAAATAATACTAATCTATATAATGAGATATATAAATGAGAAAGTAACTCTTATAGAATGTCTGTCTGTCTATTTTAATATGTTGTATGTATGTACTTATGATAAAATTGCAGGATTATCTACAGAACTTTGCACACATTTAGATCTCAATTCTTTTGTCGTTGAAGTCGACAACCACGCATATTCTTAATATTGAACTTGGCTCCCATTTTCACATTAATGTTTTTGATGGGATTGTATATTGCTTGTTACTCCTGACGGGTACAGTCCATTTGCATAAAAAATAATTACCACTGTATACTATGTAAAGACCGAAACTCAAACTATTATTATATAACAGTTAGGGCCATCAACCTTTAGAATTAAATTATGAAGATTTTTAGAAAATGTCAAAACATACATTTGTCCTTAACTCCAGGTAAATTTGTAAGAAATTATTAAAATTCTAAAAAATCTATTGTTAACTGAAACGCCTGCGTGTACGCGGTCGTGAAGGGATTAATATTTTCTAGAAACAGAAACAAATGTTAGCATTTTTCATCATCTTCTGATTTTTTATTATATCACTTAATAAAAATTAATTAAATATTTTGTTCTGGTAACATTTAGTCTTTTTTTTTCAGTGACAACATAAGGAAAGATAAGGTGAAACAGATCTATAAAGACGCATCCATACAACAAGGGGAGTTAAATAAATTAAAACGAATGAAGTAAACATTGTTTATTTATTTATAAACATTTGTGTATAATAAAGTATACAATATATAAATATATTTGCTTATTTATTTTAAAATCCATAAATGCAATACATTGCTACAACAATAAGTTACAATTTACATAATATATAATACTTATTTATTTCTGCATTTCAAATGGAGAAATGGTTTACATTCACCTGCAGGTAAATTTCTAAGAAATCTATTGTTAACTGTAACGCCGGCGTGTCCGCAGTCGTGGAGGGAATAATATTTTATAACGATAAAATTAAAACAAGAAGTGATTTTGAGAGAAAATACCTATTTATTCCAAAAAATAAGCTAAGAAAAGGCACTCTGATAGCCTTAACTATATAACCTGTGTGATTAAATCTGATCACCAAAATGGTAAATGACTTCTACTAATATTGTAAATGTGAAAGTTTGTGAGGAGGGATGGATGGATGTTTGTTGCTTAATTGTGCCAGAATGGCTGAACGGATCTGAATATAATTTTAGTACAGAGATAAATTATAGTCTAGAATAGGATACTTTTTATCCCGGAAAAATATACGGTTCCCGTGGGATATATTTGTTTTAGTCTAGGGATGAACCCGAAATGAAGCGAGGGTGAGTCACTAGTCTTGTATAAATCTTAGTCTATATAAATTATAAATCTTCAGTCACCAAATAAACTTAACGTAATATTATTAAAATATGTATATAACAAACACCAAATTAAATCATTATTCAAATTATACAATCGCCATTATATTTTTAATGATTAACTTAAAAAAATAATACATTAACAGGGAATATGCGTGTGATTTAAATAAAGGTTAAGTATATATTTTTATAATCTTTATTGGTTTTGAATTAAGCCTATTTCAATATTTTTTAATGTAATTTCTTTTTTATTAAGAAGATAATTTTTAAAAAGTAAAAACAGGTGGGAATTTCGGAGTAGTTGGAACAAACAATTTTTACGTCAGAGTATATCATAACAGCGATTAGAGATTTCGTCGCTATAAATTGCGTCGAGATTTTTTTGTTTGTATCATACTGTGACGTTACGCCAAGCGTGCGAAACTACGCGCGTTTAAAGTATACATATCGGTATGATATTTATATAATTTTTTTTATACTAAATTTTAGTTTTTTTGGAACTAGATATTTAAAGAAAACACGCTTAATCCCTATTAAAGTTATTTTGACCCTTTTTAAGAACTATAAAAACATAGATAATTTAGAATCTTAAAAATACAATCTTTAGTGCAGATATCTTATATTTAAATATTTTAATTTTTAAAATTGGTAAAACTCAATAACAATGACTTATTAACTACTTGCTTATTATTTCTTTTTACCATCCCTATTTAATTGCCAGATGGTATAATTAAGGCAAGTGGCAAAAGTAAGCCAGCACAAATATGGTGCCATAAAGTATAATGTATTTTTGTTAACATTGAAGAAACTAACAGTACATGCTGTTGCAGCTGCATCCAGTGCAAGAATATGGAAGAAAGCCTGAAAAAGATTGATAACATTAAAATCAGACTACTTATTACAACTCTAAAAGATTGTATGTATGTTTGTTTGTTTGTTTGTTTGTTACTCTTTAATGCTAAATAGGCTGGACGAGTTTAGCTAAATTTTAGAACACAGCTGATAGACTATAACTTGGAGCAAACAATAGGCTACTGTTTATATTCTTCAGAGCAGCAATAGACCTTAATGGATTCGAGTGCAATTTAGAATGAAAACAGCTTATATCATGGATTACTTATGTTCAGGATTGTATTACCTAGCGACTTACTTCTTCACGTTCACCTTCGTGCTTAGGCTGTTTCCTCATACAAACTTTCATCCCCATTTTCACCCCCTTGAGGGATGATTTCCGGGATAAAAACTATCCTATCCTTACCACGGTCTGAAACTATCTTCTTACCAAATTTCTTCTAAATTGGTCCAGTAGTTTCGGAGCTTTTTCGATACAAACAAACAGAAAAATCATTCCTCTTTATAATGTTAGTATAGATTTAGAAAAATGGGGCTTTTTTATTTTATTTTACTATCCACATTTATCGTTAAAAACATGTGCCCCAATTATTTTGCTAAACTATAAACATTCCGAAATCTAAATTTCATTTCAACCAATTCATGTTTTCTTAAATGATTAAAAATGAATAAAAAGTCAAAAGACATTAAATCTATATATTTTTTTCAAAAGTTATATCGTACCTACTATAAAATACGCATATTTGAGTAATTTTTTGAATTAAAAAATACTTACCAAACCAATTTTGTGCAATTTGAAAAATACTGGAGTCCATGTCCAGTTTATTAACAAATGCGCTCCATACAAACTTAAAGGTACAATTGATTTATCTGAAAATAATAATAATAATGGTTATATTTAACTTTAAATAATAATTCTATTATATTATCCATATTTTATTCAGCCTTTTTCAACGTCCCACTGCTGGGCATGGGCTTCCCTTCAATACGAAAGGCTATAGTTCACCACGCTGGCCAAGTGTGGGTGGAAAACTTGTTAGGTTCTCTCAGACATGCAGTTTTCCTCACGATATTTTCATGTAACGCAAGATAAGTAGTAATCATGTTGGAAATGATTCGCATATGAAAATATCAGAGGTGCGGGACATGGGATTTGAACCCGATTCACTCAGAGTCCCAAGTGAGCGCATTACCACTGGGCTACCACTGCCTTATATACTCCATTATCCATATTCCAATGTATAAATGCACAAGTACCAAAATATATGCAAAAATTTAAGTTTATGAATAAGTAAATCATTCATTTTTCTTCTAATATTAAGTGGTTTCCTTCCTTTCTCACTAATAATGGACTAAGATCCCGCTGCAAGATTGCTACGTTCATAGCGTATTTAATCAAAATCAATTTTTTATCTATACTTATAATAAAATTGTAACAAAGTCGAATCTATACATTAAATATTTTTTGGGAAATCCTATTGAAATAGACATTATTATCGATACAGAGGTCGAATCTATAGTTTTTAGAATTTTTGTCTGTCGGTCTTTCTTTCTACCTGACTGTTACCGCATCACAGAAAAACCACTGGAGGGATTTTGATGAAATTTGTATGGTGATAGCTGGTTATCCGTGTCAACATATAGGATACTTTTTACCGCGGGAAAATATCTCATTTCTGAGAAAAAATACAAAAACTGCATTGTAAGAGTATACTAATATGTACAACCTAAGAATTTGGTTTTTGGTCATCTGAGCGCGGGCGGAGCCACGAGCAATGCTAGTATACAATATGTTTTGACCGGGGTGCCTATTAAAATATGCCCCCTAGTATGTTATTAAAATGATTAATACCTACTCCACAGAAATATGCGTATAGATCTTGAACAGTGATAGCTACCGTTGCGCATTTGGCCGCAACCTCTTAGCAGCCAGGTGTAAGCAGGTCATATTTTGTTACATTTATACGTTCATGGCGTATATTCATCATTTATATATCAAATTAAAACTACATATTTTTTATGTGCATGATAAAATACCTCAAACTATGTAAAAGTGGCCGCAATGGAAAGAAAAGAAGGAAAGATTATCTTTATATATATAATTCTTCTGTGAGTGTGTATGTCACTGAACTTCTCTCAAACGACTGGACCGATTTTGATGAAATTTTTTGTGTGTGTTCAAGGGGATCTGGGAATGGTTTAGATTCACAATTTGAATAATAATTTTCATCAAAAAAATTATTAAAAAAAGTTTGAAATTTTCAAATTAAAGACGTGTAGACAGGACAACGTCTGTCGGGTCCGCTAGTAATATTATATATCACTAGCTGACCCGGCAAACGTTGTTTTGCCATATAAATAATTAAATAATAATTGTCAACGTTATTACTACACTTGATGCATAAACAATAATGATGGGCGACAACTGTGTAGGGAGTGAGAAAGAAAGGAGACCGTCACGACTTCGTTCTCATCCCTACTCCGTGCTGTTTACTGAGTCAGAAGTGACACCTGTAGACATCTGGCGGGGATAACTAATTAAATGACGATTGATCAGTTTTCGACCGGAGAGGAAAAATGATTAAATTACTAAAATGGCTATTAAAAAATAAGGGTTGATCGTAGAAGGGTGAAAATTGAGGATTGTATGTATTTTTGTATGTTGTATCATAAAAAAATAGAAATTAAAAATTTTGTCTAAAAAAAAATTTGGGGTGGACTACCCCTAACATTTAGGGGGATGAAAAATAGATGTTGGCCGATTCTCATAGATACCGGATAAGCACAAAAAATTTCATCAAAATCGGTCAAGCCGTTTCGGAGGAGTATGGCAACGAAAACTGTGACACGAGAATTTTATATATTATTAGATTAGAAGATTTGTCAGACAATAACAACGAGAATGAGATAATCTCCCGGGGTAAAAAGTCTAGCTTATGTCACTCTCCAGCCCTCCAAGTATCTCTACTCAAAAAATCACGCCAAACCGTCACTAGCTGGTGCAACGTGAATGAAGGACAAACACTCTTCATATAATATAATAATAGTATGGATATTGCATATTTTTATATATACAGATCTATATTTTGAACAGAGGACACTATGCTAATTGCTAACTGCTATACTGCAACTCAACTAGTCCCTTCAATCAACAATACTACTAGATAACGTGTCACATACAAGCGCGGATCCAGAGGGGGGGTCATGGGGGTCATGACCCCCCCCCCCCAAAGCCAAATATATTTTTTAAGAACCTGAAGTTTGAGAATAGAAGGATTAATAGATTAATGTTGACCCGAAATAAGTTATTACTACACAAAATTTGGTTAAAACCGTTCAGTACTTTTTGCGTGAATCCGCATAAACAAACAGACATACAAATAAAAATTTTGTTTAGGTTCTATATTCTGTACACTATACGTTAAACGGTTACAGTCATTGTTTATAAAAAAAAATCATGTACAGATTTTGCTAACTTACTGTTTTATTATATGCATATTTCAGCCTATGACCCCCCTCCAAAATTTAACTCTGGATCCGCGCCTGGTCACATACAAAATCAAAGCTAAATTCTGTCCCCGCGAATATACACCTATACAGCTACGTTTGTATACTAACGAACCAAGACAAAGTCTTATAATACTTTTATTTTCAACCTAATCTACACCATAGCACCTTGTAATAAAGTCACAAATCTTTAAAATATCATCGTACACCTACGATCGTTTTGTAAGTTTTACAATCTTTATTGTAAAATCAATCTTATATCGATAAAGCTCTTTTTCCCGTTGTATAATATACGCTCACTTAGCAAGTGAGCTACCGAGACGGATTTCTTACGCCGACTCGATATCTAGTAAGTAGTAGTATTGTTAATCGAAGACTACTCCAGAAAATTGTTGATTAAATTTCAAAATGGATGGAATGACAAAATTAAAAAGAATAATATTTTCAAGATACCATTCTGTTACTATGTAAGAATACTTATTAGTGATTTAAACTATAGCGTATCAATTTGATTGATATATTTTTTATCTATATGATATCTATATGAATATTATACATTTGTTATAGATGATTCTAGTACATAGAGTTTATTAATTATGGTTTAAATTTTTGCTCATAATTTAAAACTATATAACTTAATTATTCATTAAATAACAAAATGTATTTATTTTTATTGTACAAGTAGTATAAAGAGTATATGTAATCTATACATATAATAAAATTCTGAGTCGAATCTGTACATTAAATATTTTTAGGTAAAATCTTATTGAAATAGTCATATCGTTACAGAGGCTGAATCTATAGTTTTTAGAATTTTTGTCTGTCTATCTTGCTAGGAACACATCACGAGAAAAGTAATAGACAGATTTTGATGAAATTTGATATGATGTTAACTGGTTATCTGAGTCAACATATAGGGTACTTTTTACTGCAGGAAAATATGTCATCTCTGAGAAATTTATACACATTAAATGTAATTAGGGATAGTGATAGGGACAAATTGAAATATGGACAAATGACATGAATGGAAATAGTCCCTAGTAAATAATATTATCCTACTAATATTATAAATGTGAAAGTTTGTGAGGATGGATGGATGGATGTTTGTTACTCTTTCATGTCAAATGGCTGAACGGATATGGATGAAAGGCACAGAGATATATTATAGTCTGGAACAGTACATATATTACTTTTATCCCGGAAAAATGCATGGTTCACATGGGATAGATTTGTTTTTGTCTAGGGATGAACCCGATGCAAAGCAAGGGTGAGTTGCTAGTTCTTTATAAATATAAGTGTTACCTGTTATTCCGCCACAGTCTCTATACACAAGATAAGAAGCAAATCCCATGCTACCATACAGTGCAGTCCATGCGGGTCCAAAGACCCAATTAGGTGGATTCCAGTTTGGTTTCCTTATGCTTTCATACCAAGCTGTTCCATTAGCTGACTTGACTTCACCCGTCATAGTTAGAGCTCCAGCCCACCCACCAACGGTAGGTAGCACCATCGCTCCAATCATAGGCCAGTTCACCATTTTTATATTTTTAAAGTGCTTTAATTAAAATTTTATATTTAAAAGATATTATACACTTTTTTAATTTTTAAGTATTATATTACTTAATTTAGCTTTAGTAAATTCATTCACAACAGTATTTATAATTCAGATTGTAGGTTTATCAATTAAATTAGTAATAGTAAGTTATCAGGAAAATCATAATTAATTTAAAAGTAAACCTTAAAATTGCAAAGGGTTTATTATAATAAATGAGAAAACTGTACGGCTAGTATTCACCTTACCGGATGTTTAGAGTAGGGTTGTGAAAAAATAAGTCAAACATAATAATCAATTCTCACTGACGAAATGACGTCACTCTTATAATAATAGGTAAATGTAACTGGTTAGCAGATTAAATTTTTAACATCAAACCATTTATTTATAGTTTGTGCATTGAAAGTTTTGACTTTTGTTATCAATGAATAATCAAAATTCAAAAATTATGAGCTTGCCAGACGTCAGTAGCGAAAGTTACCATCGCAAAATTCTAATTCAATGCTTAAATTTAATGATTAGGGCAAAAATAATACCTATAAAATATAAAATTATTTTGTTTAGTTTGTATTTTATCTAGCATGCTAGCATTTTATATATATAAAATGCAAAAATATGATTCTTTAAAATGTGTTTTGTTATGTACGAATGATACGAATTGTTTGTTGTCGTATTAATCCTTTTTAGAATTACGCGAATATTTAACATTTTAAATAAGCATTCATTATTTTTTAGTGAAGCCATTATGCCAATAGTCAAAAACATATCTATAGATTTATATATATTATTTAAATACAGTATTTAATATAATAGATTTAAAAAAGATGAAATGTTGTGTTCAAAAAATTGTACAGAAATTCTGCTGAAAACGGAACGTACAAAGTCACGGTATTAGAATTAAGAAATATAACGCGACTTTTTTAAAAGTATCCGTTTATTAACTTATTACGAACGAATAATCTGCTTCTTAATTTAATAGTATATTCGGCTGCTGGTGATTTCACCGAGACTTTTCCGATTTTCTCACAACTTTTTATAACCACTTGTATTTACTTTTCAACCGTGGGATATATTCTAGAAAGTCATAAACGTAAGTTTGTTGAAATATACTTTTATAGCTCTATATTAGAACACTAACACTTTTATTCTGATTTTCGAATAGGAACCGGTTTTATTAAGGTAAACAAATTATGTACTCATTATTTAAATTAATCATTATTCAAGACACTATACTTTGAAGTTACCTATGTTTTCGTGTTATTTTAGTATTAAGTAGTAGTACATCATTGTTACTTTATCTTATTGGAAATATATTATTTAATTAAAGGTAAATTATGCCATTTACTCGTTTAAACTTCGTAAGTTGCATAAATTTGAATTAATAATTATCTACTTGATTTTGGTCGATAAGATTAATTAAACGAATAGGGAATTAGTTGGTACATTGTATTAGTGCACTTTGGACAATACTTAATTATTCTAGTTGTAATTTATATCATTTACAAAGTATGGACGGCTTGAAAGAATATTTTCTAAGTAGCAGGTATAATATTTATTGTATTAATGTTTTAATTTCAGTCAAAAATCATATTAAATTTAAAATAAATTATAAATAAATTTTACCAACAATTTCATACAATAATAGTTATTAAAGTTAAAGAATTTATTCTATATTGTTATTTATATTGGCAGTGTTAATAAAACAATATCTTGTAATGTACAATATTATTTTAAATTTTGCTATAATTTATTCAGCATATCTTTTTTTACTATGCACTGTTGCAATGTAAACTATTTTACAAGTTAATCTGAATAATTTTACAATTATAATGCACATTGTACATATCTTATGTTTTGTATAAGAAGTAACATAGCAGACAAGTAATATATCATACTTCATGATAAGCATGACTACACATTTATTTTAAGTTATATAATCCAGAATGGAAAAGAATATTGATAATGTGTAATAATCGCAGAGAAGATTCTAGATTAAAAAAATAGTTATCTTTAAAATTGTATGATAATCTAATTTTTTTTTTTTCAATTTAGCAATAGGTTTTTGCAATTTATAATTATATAATTGATTATATTACAAATTTCCCATTTGTAAGTAATGACAAAAAAAATTACTCAATTTATTACTTACAAATTAACAAAACAAACAGCATACTTATTAGTTATTGTATCTATATTATCTATATTAATATTATAAAGAGGCAGAGGTTGTTGGTTTGAACATACTAATCTCAGGAACTACCAACCTGATTTGAAAAATTCTTTTCGCATTAGATAGCCCGTTTATTGAGATAAGCCATAGGTTATCTATATATATTATCATATAATGTATAGTCTATCTATTCCATACTAACTGTTTAAACATACCTATGGATGAACCCAAATAAAGAGAGTTAACACTCAAACTCACATACTTACTTTATATTATTAGTGTAGATTCATGTTTACATTTTCAGATCTAAACTGTAATCTTTATTACTTTTCTTGCAACATTTTTTGCTTATCTATCGGAATGTTCCATTATCTTAACAGTGTTGTATTTTCTTGAAATGACTGACTGAATGTGAAATTTAATGACAATATAAAAAAAAGAAAAATGAATGACCTTTAAGCAGGAACAAATATTTTTTAAATGCTATCTTAATATTATAATTTTGATACCATCAAGCCTTTGTGATGATGGAGTCGTAAAGTTACAAGAACTTCAGTGGCTACTGGAAAGACTAAGGAATTAAGACTTTATTTCTGATTTGTTTGTTGAACCCCATACTAAATTTGGTTTAAGTGTGTTGCGTAAATTATTTAAAACTGTAATTATTAGGAATACTTCAATACATAAAAATATTTATTTATGCTACTTTTATCTTGCAGTGATATCAAAATGGCAAACTGGGCAGCAATAGGATCAATAATTCTTCCCAATGCCGGAGGTTGGGCAAATGGTGTATACTTTGCTGGTCAAATCCGTAAAGATAATGAAAAAGCTTGGTACGATACCTTGAAGAAGCCATGTTGGACCCCTCCTAAATGGGTGTTTGGACCTGCTTGGACCATGCTATACAGTGGTATGGGCTATGCTTCATACCTTGTGTATGAGGAATGTGGTGGTTTTACTGGTGAGAAATATTTTGAAAGAACTTGAATTATTATTACAAAAATTTTTAAAGTACATATGTTATAATGAAGACATAATATGTATAATAAACACAAAAAAAATCTATATCTGCTAGAAGTTGCATGAGTTGAGATTCTTGAGCATCACACAAAAAATGTATGTCTGATTTTAATCAAAGTTTTTAGAAACAGGCAAATAATTCATTTATTCTAACAATAAAATGATAAACCAATTTTTAAGTCACTTTAAATGTAAAAATTCTACCATTAAAAGTGTTTTTTTTTTTAATTCATATGGGACACAATATTACCTGCATATTAAATAATATCAGTAAAATCCTTTTATAAATGGCGATTTTGTGTATATAACGTAACAAACACACAAAAAAATACCATACACCTGACTTGAGTTCCTCCTCCTTTTTTATAAGTCGATCAAATCCTAGTGTATTTTTTATAAAATAAAAAAACGTAACTTATAGATACTATTTTTTTCAGACGAGGCTGTTTTGCCTTTAACATTGTATGGCGGTCAACTGTTACTCAACTGGGCGTGGACCCCCATTTTCTTCGGTCTTAAGGACTTTAAAATGGTTAGATTTTTGTATTTATTTTTTATCTTTAGTATGTTTTATTACTTATTTATTTACATTGATATCATACAAATAATAGTTCAGAAATAGAATTAACATAGTATTTTCTTTGATTACTTAATGCGAGTATGTAATCGCGGTCTCGTTGGTGTGCTATGTCAATAAAAAGTTACGTTTGTATCGTAAAAGTTGAAGATACAAACACACTTTCAAAAATTTATATTTATATATTTTTTTCTTTAATGGCTTAGAGTTGCGTTAACAGACGCAATACATTCTGCCAGCATCACGTTTTGTGAGGAAGTCACGAATGAGATTTAGTGGTAATTTTGAAATTTAGCAGGTTTCTTCTACAGGAGAAACCTACAACAATAGAAAGATAATTACGCAATACAAAAATGGCACATTAAATTTATAATTATATCAAAGTATAAAATTCCATACAGCTGTCATCACCCATTAATTTTAATAAAAAAAATAGTCAAATGCAAGGGCTGCCAAAAATACTGTTTTTTCACTGTGAATGTTTTAAAGTTGAAACTCTGTAATGTCGTCTAGTGGCAAGTTACGGTTACATTCAACAACTCTAAAGCCGTTGCTCGATTGTCATATAAATGTAAGTAAGACAGGCGGTGAGAATCATTTCCAACATGATTACCAGTTGTCTTACACTCAAGGAAAATATCTTGAGGAAACCCGCATGTTTGATAGCTAGCAAGTTTTCTAAAGACATGCTCAGTCCGCCCCGCACTTGGGCAGCGTGGTGGACTATGGCCTGATCACCTCGTCGAGCGACCCGAGCCCAAAAGGGACGTTGAAAGGACTAAACAACAAAATGACAGTCGGGGGGAGCTCTCCCCGCACACTATTGCGCTGTCTAGTCAAAGAGCCCACGTTAAATGTTCGTATGGATTAGTAGACTGTAGTAATATTAAACTAGCGACTCACGCTCGCTTCGCTCGAGTTCGTCCCTAGCTTGCTTCCCAATACAAATTTCTGTCCCCATTCCCTTTAAGGGATGGACAAAAAGTATCCTATGTAACATTCCTAGGGTCTCAAACTATCTTCTTACCAAATTTCATCTAAATCGGTTCAGTATATCCAGAGATTCCCCTCTACAAACCCAGAAACTACCTTGTTATAATATTAGTATAGATGAGAATATATAAATATAAATAATTTATGCATCCTCACTACATACTCTATACTATGCTTCAGAATAATTTCGTAAGTTTCGTTTTTTTGTGCGTCACTTATCGCGTCAATAAATCCGCGACCTCGGTTATGTAGATGATGTCAGTACACGTACTATAGCTAAGTATCACAGAGTAAAAGAATGAGATAAAAAAGAATTTAATCTAGTTTAAAAATAAAAAACAAGTTCTCAAACGTATGTATTGGGATTTTAAAGAAATTACAAAACCTCAAGGTCAATTAGATGGTACTGAATAGTTCCACTATTCATCTCCTGGCTCCATTATCACAACAGCTCGATTATATCTATATATGTATTTATGTATGTATATATGCATGCATTCATCCCTTTTTGACGTCCCACTGCTGGGCACATACCTCCCTTTAATGCAAGGGGGGATCAGGCCATAGTCCACCATGCTGGCCAAGTGCGGGTTGGCGGACTTCACATGTTTTTCGAAAACTTGCTAGGTTCTCTCAGACATGCAGGTTTCCTCACGATGTTTTCCTTCACCGTAAGACAAGTCGTAATCATGTTGGAAATGATTTGCACATGAAAATATCAGAGGTGCGAGATCCGGGATTTGAACCCTTATCACTCGATTTCCCAAGCGAGCGCTTTACCACTGGACTACCACTGCCTATATATCTATATATTATATAGTGTGTCATATTTATTGTATTGTAATCAGATTTTTTCATATATATAAAGTTTCAATTCAATACGTCAGTTAGGTTCAAAATGATTGCCAAGATTATATTTTATTGAAAGTTACAAGTGATATATAAACGTGTTAAAAATATTGTGGTATAAAACAATATACAATATGTAAGACAAGTTGAGGCTATTTTGGTTTCACTTTTGTAAATCTATATGCTCTCACCGTCTAATTATATTTTAGTTTGACACGTATTGTATTTCATGCTATTTACGAGTATATTTGTATCGAATATACGAGTAAAATGAATAACGAGACTTAACAAGACGATTGTTAGTTCTTACCTCAGAATAAGATAAGATAAATAACAAAAGAACCCTATCGAGTGTCACTTACTCGCTTCAAATATAATCTATCTATACATATAATAAAATTCTGTGTCGAATCTGTACATTAAATATTTTTTGGAATATCTTATTGAAATAGTCATCGATACAGAGATTGAATCTATAGTTTTTAGATTTTTTGTCTGTCTGTCTGATTGGGAACGCATCACGACAAAACTATTGGACAGATTTTGATATGATGATAGCTGGTTATCCGGGTCAACGGTCAACATATAGGATACTTTTACTGCGGTCTCATTATTAATTATCATTTTTTTAATCGTAATAGTTAACAGTAAGACAATTTTCGTAAAAAATAAATTCACACGAGAAATATAAAATCGCATTTGACTGAATTATTAAAAATATAGATAATTTTTTGAGAAAGTTATTACATTTTTTTTAGTGAAAGGTTATTAAAAAAATATTTTCCTTTCAGGCATTTATAGAAATATCAGTACTAAGTGGGGCAGCAGTAGCTACGGCGATTACTTTCGCTAAAGTCGACAAGGCAGCAGGTGCTTTGATGGTGCCATACCTCGCGTGGCTCGCGTACGCTAGCTCTTTGTCTTATTACATATGGAAGAACAATCCTAAGGAAGAGAAGAAGGAATAAGGTTAGGTTTTATTGGCTGTTTTATATGTACGTTTTAATTTTATTTGTTGTGTTGAGCGGAACCCTAATTCTTATTCTAAAATAAAATTAGCCAAGTTTCAAAATAAGTCTAGCCGCTTCTGAGATTAGCCGGAACAACCGGACAAAAATTTTAAACATTTTTTTTATAAGTACTGTGTATAATTTCATACGTATTTAGTAAAAAGCTATTATTTTGACGTTATTTTAATTTTATTTATCTGTATAGATCTTGTAATAAATAATAATAAAGGGACTTGGAAGTCATTCCAGATTACGTAGTGGATTTTATTTTGAAAGACAATGCACATATTACATGCAATGGGTGGTATTTTAAGTCTTTGGAAATTAGTTCATAACCAGTGAAGTTAGAAAATACACAAGAAAATATTTACCTTAATTGGAACCTCACTTTTTCTTCAGTTATTTAGTTTTTTAACAAAAAAATCTATTTATAAATAATGAAATTCTGAGTCAATTCTGTGCATTAAATTTTTTTTTGAAAATCTTATTGAAATTGTAATTATTATCAAAACAGAGGCTGAATCTATAGTGTTTAGAATTTTTATGTCTGTCTGTCAGGGAACGCGAAACGAGAAAACTACAGGACAGATTTTGATGAAATTTGGTATGATGATAGCTGGTTATCCGGGTCAACTTATAGGATACATTTTATTGCAGGAAAATATCTCATCTCTGAGAAATCTATATTAACCTTAAAACGTAGGAATGAACTCGAGCGTAGCAAGGGTGAGGTGATAATAATTATAAATAATACAAAATCTGATGACTAAACGAAATAGAACAAAACAATATGTAAATATTTAAAATGATTTTTTTTTTCAATATTTTTATAGCTTTTTCAGAAGGCATTATTCAGAACACGTGTATAACCTTATTTATTTTATATTGCAGATGGAGGAAGTAAATACACAACATTCGTTACTTAACAAAATCAAAATGTAGTTTAGCAGCTAACACACAAATATTTGTAATAACTTTCTTTATAATAATACTATGTACGAAATCATATTTAAAAAGTATTTATATTAAAATATTTGATAAAATATTAAACTTTCCTCTTTTATATGGTATCTTCGACCCGACGAATAAATAATAAGTCAGAAAATGTAACTGCGTTAAAAATAAAAAAGTTCTAAATTAAGATAAATTTTGGTACTTACAAATTTTCGCAAAAATCTAAATTTGCCCATATTTTTTTATAGTGTTGACTCAGGGCCTTGATTTTTATACACCTAATAGGGACTATAGACCTCAGTACTCTCACCCGTTCCTGAGAAAATCGGTGGTGACACACGGACAAACGGACAAGAGAGTGATCTTATAAGGGTTCTTTTTTTAACTTTTGAGGTACGGTACCCTAAAAAATGACCCAGTAAAAGTCGTGTTCAACGGACATTATTCTTACATGCGAGCACATGTCAAATTTCGCGTACGTTTAAATTTTTATCATCGTAAACTATAGCTGTGAATCTTCATGCCAGCATGTTTTGTGAAGTAGTGCAGGAGCTATGCAAGATTAAAATGTCCAGAAATCACATAAACATCGTCCACACCGCTATGACTCGGCTGTCATAGCAGACATTGCAAACCAATCCCTGCTTTTGGTCTGAATTTAAAATCAAAAAATCAAAAATCATTTATTGATGTAGGATCAGGACGATTACTTATCAATGCCAATAACTTATAACTAATTTTGTACATGTCATAATAAACTAAAGAAAAAAATCACTAAATTATTATTAACTAGCGACTCACTCTCGCTTCGCTTGGATTCGTCCCTAGCTTGATTCCCCATACAAACTTTCATCCCTATTTTCACTACCTTAAGGGATGATTTCTGGGATAAAAAGTATCCTATGTCCTTCCCAGGGTCTCAGACTATCTTCTTACCAAATTTCATCTAAATCGATTCAGTAGATCCAGCGATTACCCCTTACAACGTCACGAACTCACTATTAACAAACTCTCCTCTTTATAATATTAGTATAAATTAATAACCAATCGCCAAGTATGTTTGTTTGTAAGCTCATAAGTGATTCGTATTTTAATCATTCGTCGTTTTGGTTTGAAGTAGGGCCACTTTTTGTGTGGAATTTGTTCTAAATCTTCCTGACTTATTATTTATTCGTAACTTCGACTAAAATAAACGATAGTTATTACTTAGATTTAATTTAAAGTGCCCTTCACTGCTTTACTTGGTTGCATTTAAGGAGTATTTTGTATGTCGTCTCTTAGTCTATATGCTTTGAGTCTTGTTTTCTTTTCGAATATTTATTGTTTATGTTAGATGTTATATAAATAATATAAAACTATTATATAAATAATGTGTTTTATTTATTTCAAATTATAGGCACCTTAGATGTATTTTTATTTTTACAATCATTGAAAAGTAGAAATCTAAAAAAATTAAATAAAAAAATTAAAACCGAATTCAAAAATGAATGATTCTATGACAACGATTCAATTTATCACTTCAGTGAAAAAGTAAATACAAAAGTGGAATTGAGGACTATGTGACGATAATCAAAGAAATTTAAATATGTACAAAAAAAATATAGAGATTAACCTAATTGGTATTTCGTCCCAATATAACGTTAATGAACTGTTGCTTAAATAAAATAAAGAAAAACCGGCTTAAAAACAAAATTGTAAAAAGTAAAAAATAACTGACTGGTAGTCTTCATTTACTATAGGTACCTAATCAGATATTTTCGAAGTCTGTGTGCTTTGATTTGTATATTGGTTTTTTTGAAGTCGATTTTTTTTAAGTTTTTATTTTTCAATTTTTTGTATAGTAGATATAGTACCTAAAAGTACGTGAAAAATCAATCAAGTCCCCTATTACCTTACATTTAGGGGTGAATTTTTCTTTTCAAATTTAAATGGGACCGACTTTGAGAGATATCCAATAAAAAAAGAATCCTCGAAATCTGAAGACATTATAAAAAGTTATGCGTGGTAGCCCAGTGGTAACGCGCTCGCTTGGGAAACCGAGTGAATCGGGATCAAGTCCCTGGTCTCGCACATCTGATATTTTCATGTCTGAGAGAACCTACCTAACAAGTTTTCGAAAGACAATTGTGAAGTCTGCCAACCCGCACTTGGCCAGCGTGGTGGACTATGGCCTGATCCCACTCGTATTGAAGGGAGGCCCGTACCCAGCTGTGGGACATTAAAATGGGCTGAATACATACATACATACATACATACATGCGTGGTCAAACATAAAAAAATATAAACGTGCAGCAAATTGAGAACCTCCTCCTTTTTCGTCGGTTAAAAATCGGATCCCGCAACATCAGTGTTGCTATTTAAACAAAGCATGAATAAAAAAACATGGTAAACAAACCTGAAATAAAATTGGGAAAAATTCTAACTAACAATTATTAAAAAACAGTTATGACTCAATTAAGTTTACACATTAATATTTACCGCTCGATAGCTATTAAACCATGTGAACAATGTTTTTTGTACACCACTTAACTAAAACTGGGTCAAACGCCTGAATAGATTACAATTATAGCAAATTATCGTGTCGATTGGCCCCTATTATCAAAATGTCACTTGCATATGAGAATCTTCCTAATCCTGTAATTTATTAATGGCGATCAACCGTTCGAAGCAAAAACTGGCGCAATTAGTATAAATCTGTTTTTGTGTATAGTAATCAACAAAAAACGTTTCTATCTCGCCATGACAGCGTTTTTAGGCAATTTTGTGCAGATTTATTTGAATTTGATATAGTTGTATAGAGATGGGAACGCACGTAAATCTTCATAATTGAATTTTGTGGTTACGTGGAATATTCTAAAAAAACTGATGTTATTACATATTGTATTATCATTGTGCTATCTGAGAATAAAATAAAATAATAATAACTTTATTCATAAATAAGGAAATTGAACATAGAACATAGTAATTTTTACAGTAAAGGCTTGTACAATTCAAAATGTATGCCTTATTTTAATATAGACCTATGCGAAAGTCAAAATTATTTTAATAATACTTTTTTAGGGTTCTGTACCCGAAAGGTGCCAAAGGAACCCTATTACTAAGCTTCCGCTGTCTGTCCGTTCGTCCGTCCGTCTGTCAGAGGGCTGTAACTCATGAACTGTAATAGGTAGTGTTTCTTGTATGGATATTCCCTTTTACTTTTTCATATTTACCATCGTACCAATACCTACGTAATATATTTAGTGAAAAAATCAAACCTGTTTACAACTACGGCATTAAAAAATTTATATCTTTATTACAGGCTAAGTAGGTCTTTATTTCTGACAGTCATTATATCATCTGTGGTAATAGTGTCTCAAACTCGACATAACAGAAAAAATCGATAATAAAAATTGATATTTTTTGTTAAAAATAATGAATCGATTCTAAAATTTTTTTAATAAATATATTATTCAAAACAAATTGTTCCTGACATTGAGATGTATCTTACATTGTAGTAGATTATGTTCTGTAAGAAAATTATTAGTATTATTAAACAAATTTTCACTTTAATTCTGTAATTTATAACTTGTGATAGGCAGAAGATAATTGGGCGCAAAAACCAGCTTAATAGGGTTAGATTTAAGATTTATCGATTAATTTGCGTTTGGAAACCCTTGAGTATACCAACTTTACAATTATTTTCAAATTATTAAAGTTATTCATAGGATTAAAATACAATAGTAATTTAAAAATGAATATAGAAATAAAAATGGAAATAATCCCTTGTAAAAATTTGAAAAGTACCTGATTGACGCACGTAAGTGTTTTAGTTCGGAGAAGTTTTAATGTTATTTTGCTGTAATTTGTCATTAACCAGCGCTACTGTACTACATTATTAAAGAGAAATTTTAATAGCATATAATTATTATCATATGGTCTCTCTGGTATGTTACTGAAAACTTTTTGTTAGAAAAACAAAATAATTGTATCTGTTATCGGTCGTGTCGCATTGTCGTTCCACCGGATTAGAGAGTGACAGGAATAGAGAGTGCACGTTGTGTCTGCGCGTACACTTGTGTACTACAATATCTCCTGCGCAGTTGGCTAGTTTCATTGAGGTTAGCCGCCGTGGCCAAAATCGGTTAGGATGACTACTACATCTAACTCAACCCGGGGACTCGAACCTAGAACCTCCGAATGTACAGCACACACACACTACACTGGACCAAAGAGGTAATTAATATGTAAATATATCATTATATTAATATGAATACATACATTTCAAGTTAGTTTTTACTCCATAATATTTCAATCACGCAGTACTCTTCGACATTTTAGAAATTCAAACAAATTTATGTAAAGCCCATTGATTAACCCGTCAAATATAGGACAGTGCTAATCACGGCCTTTGTAATTTCGACTTTTGTGTTTAAATAATATTAACGCGAAACAAAACTGATTTATACATATTATATTATTGTGTGTATGTGTATGCATTGAATTACTGAGGATTCGTATAATTATATACCTATTACATTATTTTTGAGTGACTTCAGTTAATTTTAACCCTAATACGAACAAAAACCTGAACCGTAGACAAGTACCATAAAGACAAAATACTTAACGAGGCGCAGTGTGTTATAGCCTACTATATTGTAATACGTAGGTACAAAATAAACAGTTCTACACTTTTCGATGTTTCAGCTGATTTTTGGGGTTTCTCCCAATATTTTTTATACTTAAACCATCCGTGACACACCCCCAACAAAACAGAATTATTCAAATCCAGGTCCAGGTCCAGCCGTTCGTTAGTTTTAGCGAGAGTAGAATGGCTATTGATTTTTATACTTATAGATTTGGTTCAAAGTATAAAAGTGATTTTAAGCTCATTTCATCATGGACAACATAGAGTCAATCAATTCCTATTTAGTTCTAGTATTTACGGATTTCCATAACGGTAGCTCT